CTAAGATGTGCATGCCTTGAATTATCCATTCAAATCCCTTATTAATCTTTTTCTCTCTATTAGTATATTTATTTGAACGGCTTGATAGAATATTTGAAAGTTCTGTTGAAGCATTTCTTTGTTTTTTCGCAAATATTTTATCAGTTTCCATCATGATTAACTAGTGAACAATTTAAAATGATTTATAAAATATATAATTTTGAAAATTGAACATATTGAAAAAATACAATATTACTTACCATGGATAATATGAAAAGCAACAATAATATTTTCATTTTTTAGAAAATAAGATACATTTCATATTCAAATTCGTACATATATGTAATTGTATTTATAAAAAAAAGAAATATTAAAAATTAATATTTATAAGTGAAAGAAAAAAATGAAGTTAGATTATTATATTCTCAATATACACTTTAGTCAACGTTATTACGATTATTTGGTATGTCTTCTGACCAATTTATTCTTCTTATTACAATATTTCTTAATGAATGGTATGCGCTGACGCTAAATAAATATTTGCATATTTAATATTAAGCAATGCATTAATTCAAACAATGAAGCAATTCATTTTGTAAGTATAATTCTTATTTTATAAGTGATCATAGTATCCTTTCAGATTTGATCAAATAATAATTATATGTTTGATTTTTCTACATTTATACATTATTATACATATAATGATAAAATTTGTTAAAATATTAATGAATGAATGAAGACAGTAATAAAATGAAAAAATAATAAAATTTATCAATTCTATATATATATAATTTAATTTATAATTTTATGTATTTATAATAATAATCTAATAATAAAAATAAAGGAAAATAAATTATATATTATTTGAGATGAAAGAAAATATTTTTCTCAAATTATTAACAATTTTTTATATTTTTTTATTTTTTTTATATAATTAATATATTTTTAATCTTAATAAGAAATATTAATACTAGTCATTTAACTTTTCTGAGCTGCGGCAGTTTGAAGTTGATTGTTTAGATTCTGCGTTGCTTGTACGGCAATATCAACTGCCTGTTTTGTGAACTTTGCAAGGTCTTCTTGTATTTTTCCAGAATGTTGGCTCAGAGATTTGGCAGCTTTGTCAGATTCTTTAAGTAAAGTTTGAACTCCTTGCTGGAATTTACTTTGTAATTCAGCGACTTGTTGTTGAGCATTTGGAATTCCACTACTAATATCATCGACGACTTTATTGAGCATGGTTTTAACATCATTCCATGATCTTTCCAATTCGGGAGTTTTAGTTTTGACCTAAAACAAGTAATGTTTGAATTTCGTTTTTCTTTTTTCATTTTTTTAATAAATTTTACCAAAAAAAAAAAATGATTTTTCTATAAAAATTAAATATTTAAATTTATTAAATCTATTTAATTAAAAAATATTTAATTATTACCTCTTCAGTAACATTCTTTATGTAATCTTGAATATTGTTAACAAAATTGGTGCTTTGATCTTTGACAGTTTTTACAATAGTCTCTTGATCAGGGATATTCCATTGTTCCTGAATTTGTTTCGCTAAATTGTTAATATTTGCTTGAGCCTGGCTTATAAGTTCGCTTAATTGAACATCAGGAGATACTTGAGAATTGGTAGTGCTAGTCGGAGCAACTTTGGCCTCCGAAATCAATATAATACTAAAGATGATCGTAAGGATGTTTTTCATTTTCCTTGTAGGTATTCACTGTGAAACAACCAGAAAGTGACTGATATTGTCAGCTGAAGAGTCACTACTTTTATAGACGATTCTTATCGAGGGTGCACGAGGGCACAAGCAACTATCTCGCTTTGACGATGATGAATTCTGATTCTCCTTTAAATATTTTTAGAAGAAAGATTTGGAAAATTTTTTACCATAATTATTAATATGATTAAATTTTTTAGCAATTTGTTAAAAAGATGATAATCAAAGGAATTCAATTAAAATGCAATGTCATGAATATAAAAATATAAGATTAGGAATAATTATTTGAATTTAATTTTTCATTCAATAATTCTAAAAATTAAAAGTATAATCAAATAAATATTACAATATATTCATTAAACTAATAAATACGCTGATAGTCGATTTTACATAGATATCGATGAGTTAAAGTTCAAAATAAAAACGAATGTCGCTGCATCATTATCTCTATAAAGATAATATATTATCTTAATAAAGTACAAAAATATGAAAATTATTAAATTAATATTTATATATTTTAATATATTAATCGTTAGAAAAAAAAATAATTTGTATATCTTCTTTTATACGTTGTCATCAGAAATATATGGTATTTCCAAGAACTAATCAATTATATAAAAAAAAGAGAAATATTTACCAATATCTCATGATTTAATCATGTTTGTAATCTTAAAAGTTTATTAATGATTAAGAGTTACGTCAAGAGCACAAGGTCCTATGGAAAAATTTAATTATCGATGCATTTGTTGATTTTTACTTTGCATGACCACTATTCATGCCCATCATTTTTCCGAAGTCCGTATGAAACAACTGGTTATCTATGCGTGTGCTGTCGGTCAATAGAAACCTTGACCGATGACCATTTTAATACTGTTATACGTTATAATACATTGTTACATTTTATGATACATATTATTTGTAATACATTTTCATTGTACGATTTTTATTGTATTTTTCTTAATTATTTATTCTATATCAGAATATTCATACTATAATTAATAATAGTTTAAGTATTAATTAATAATAGTTTAAGAATATCGATTCATGTTTTTAAGTATAACTTATATATATATATATATATATATATATATATATATATTATATTGGGAGAAAGTTTATTAAATGATATAAATCTCCATATATAATTTCGTTTAAATATAATTAATAATAAATTATATAATTTATTTTTAAAAATTAAGAATTTTTTAATTATATATATTTATTAATAATTTATAAAAAATTAAATAAGTTAAGGAAGTTAAAATATATTTCAAAGGATGAAGAAGGAAAAAAAGAATAAAAAGTATGTTATCAATATATCTTTATACATCTTATATATCTTTACGATTTATTCTAAAAATTTTTGTTAAATGATATAATTATATTATATTAATCATTAATTGATTAAAATTCTTGACTTTCTTATATTCATTGTACATAATTTTTTTGTTTCAAAATTTTTTTTTCCAGAAAAATATAAGTACTTAATACAAAATTCAAAATAATAAATGTAACGTTACGTGTTATTATTTGAAAAATAACGAAAAAAGAGAAAATATATAAGATTAATGTACAAATTTTTAAAAAAGATTACTGTTTCGATTAAAAACATAATTTTAGTTTAAAAATTACAGATGCACCATAGATAAGAAAATTATTATGTTGGTCAAATTTAATCACGCAACTTTTCCGCAATCTTCTCTATTTCTTTACGGATATTTTCACCAGCCTGGCCAATAAATGATTTCGCTTTTTCCAAGGCATCATTCAGCTCGGATTTCTCGAGCGCTCCTTTCGCATCATCGAAAATTTGTTTTGCCTTACTCGTTAAATCGTCGAAATTACTTGACACAGATTGTCCCGCATCTTGGGGTAAAGGATTAGCCTAAATATAACAGCATAAATTGCATAATAAAGATTATAAAAATCATTGACAAGAATTAATCCATATCCAAAAATATATTTATACTTACTTGAGAAATATAGATTAGGCAAACGAAGAGAAAAACGAGTAAGAGTGATCGAGACATAATGCGATCGTTTAGCGTGGAGTGGTGAAAAAAAAAATGCGATAGTTTCTGTCAGAGAGACGGTAGAAAACTGCTATGAAAGCTTCGCGCGAAGTATATTGCTACGATAAAATGAATCAAGATCAAAGATCACACTAATAACCACTTAAGCTTTATATACTTGTCAGTTATTCTCAATTTCTTAGTCGTTGGCTAAACCGTTCAATGTATGTACTCACATGCTACTTACTTCTTCCTTCCACCGAAACAAAATGAATCATTCTTTGGATGAATACTTAGTTTTAGTGGAACTAATTATTCCGTACTGCGTCATGATTTATATTTTCTGCACCAAGTCTATCTTTTGCGGAAATTGTGTAATCAAAATATTTTTATTATATCTTGGAATTTTTTGAAAATACACGAAATTTAAGTTTACTTACTTTTATTATAAATTTAATATTTAACTGTTAATGATAATTATGTCGATTATCTTTTCTTTCATTTTAAGATAAATAAATATTATATAATGTAAATTATTGTTAATAGATATACAACAAATTGCTTTTAAATTATTTTATGTTTTAATTTTTCCAATTTTTGATGTTCCTGTATTATGATTCGTAATATTAAGAAAATATTATGAATTGTAACAAATTATAAATGCTTCTATGTCAGAAAATTTATTGATAATTTAAAATTTCTTAAAAAATATAAATAAGGTTTTGGAGAATTATTTTTTATTCTTGAATCAATTTTAACAATATTTTTATTTCAGTTTACATATTTATGAATAATAATTTTAATATATAAATCGTGATTACATACAATAAATTTAATAAATTGTTAAATTGTAAAAATTTTAACAAATTTAACAAAATGATTTCGTATTTCATGAATTATTAAATTTTTAAGTATTAAACATAATATTTTATCTTTGTAAAAAATTTTTCTAATTCACACGTATCTTTAAATAAATTCAATTTAAATTCAATAAAAAAGACAAAAAAAATTACATAAATACCGCGAAAAAAAATTAATTCTGAAGAAAATATCGAGAAAAAAAAATAATGATTAAAATTAAGAACAAAGAACTTTGAAAAAAATTTTTCGAAAAAAGAAAAAGAATAAGAAAATAAAAAAATTAGAAAAAACTATTGGATTTTTTATTCAGAAAAATTGAATGAAAAGTTATACAAATTTGTAAAAGAAAAAAGTATGAATAGTGACAATATATTATCATTTGTTTACATATTTCTTATAAAAGAACAAATACTGAAGATAAGTAAATAAATTGCGAGATATAATTAAAATTATTTTTAGAAATTATCCCAATGGATGAAAGTAATATTTATCCTGTAAAAATATATTTCATTATTATAAATTAATATTCTTAAGTGCATACTAATTTAATTAATTTATAGGAAAAATTTAATTATTGAATTTAATAAAATCTGAGGATCTTTAATTAGATATAAAAATATATATAAAAATTGGTAAATAAATGATAATTATCATATTCAGAAAATAATGAAAATTAATTGTTCTTACCAGAAATTAATAGAACTCCTTATATTTGTATATTTCAGAAATAATTAAAAAAGATTGCTTTGCGACGATATTAGCGTAGATGATATCGAAACATTTAAATTTGTTTTTTCTTCGTTCATTTCATTCACAGACGATTCGATTATTGAAAATATTTCGTTTAACGTTTCCGAGAATCCAGATGCATAAAAACCATTATAAAAAGTTTGTAAAATGTTAATACCTTCTTCTAAAAATACTGTGTACTGATATAATTTTTGTTGAATGTTATTCAACAAATCATTAAATATTGATTCTACCCATATAATTGCATCAAAAAATAAATTTTTTATTTCTTTTAGAGGAGATAATGCTAAATTATAAAGTGAAGTTATTAATTGTTTGCCCAAAATGAACAATTTCTTTCCTATTTCTTTTAAATCTTCAATTTTCTCTAAATAATTAAAATCAAGATGTTCAAAAAGATTTTGTACACGATAGAAAATTTCTTTAACAGAATTTACTAATTTAATTATACTTCTTGCAATAGGAATAAAAATAGGGATAGATTTTTTTATATTATTAATTAAGATTTTTATATTTTCAGGATTATGTAAAAATTCTTCTAAATTGGACAATTCGACCTCTACTATTTCAGGTAAAGTAGTTTCGTTAAATATAAGATCACCAAATGAAATTATATCTTGTGCTATGTTAAATAGCCAGATCAATGGAGATTCAGGTTGTAAATTATTTACTGCAATTAAGATGTAATGAAAAAGTTTGTTCAGCTCACAAAAAGATTCATGAATTATAATTTCAATTATATGCTGGTAACCATAATTTAAAGCCTCTGTTTTGCAGGAATAATTTTCTAATGTTTCCAGAAAAGATGAATTTGATTGAGAATAATCAACTTGCGTTTCAGAAAATTCATCAATACATTTCGATAAAAAATTTTCTAGTTTTGGCAAGTTTTTTGAGTTATCTTCAACGTTCTGAAAATGTTCAACTCATTAATAAATTATTTTAATTTTAAAAAGAAACGTAATAACAATAATAAAACATAAAAATCACACACCAGTTCTTTTTCTCTTGTTTCATTTTCAACCTCTGGATTATCCTTGTTACGAAAGTTTGGATTCTCTGCTATCAAAATGTCTTCTTTTTTATATGATCTTGATGGGATTTGTAAAGATTGTAAAATAACAGGTAAACTATGATGCAATGTAGACAAAGAATTTTCTATTTTTTCCTTAAATTCTGTTATTGCGTCAGTTTTTTCGATAATAACGATGAATATTATGGTATTTAATACCACGTAAAATAAAGAGAGATTCGACACTTTATTCTTCATTTTTTCAACTAAAATATTGCAACTTCAATCCATTTTGATTGATGAAGACAGCTTCATATACTCGGAGAATTGATATTTTATTTAAGAAAATTGCACGCACAACGTGCGCAATTTCAAAAGTAGAGATTAATAAGTAAGATAAATGTGATTATGGTATGATTCTACGTGCATATATACCTTCAGAAAATAATTAAAAAGCACGTATTTGAATCTTCAGCGATTATTTATGCGCATTAAATAATATACGATAATAATATAAGAAAAAAAGAAAATATATACAAAATATAAAAATATATTATATTTATTATATATATTTTTATACGTTCATTTTATTAGATAGATAAAAAAGTTTTGAATTTTTCATCATTTTTATATTTCAATATATTATATTTTATTATTAATATAAATAATTCTGTAATTATTAAATTTATTGACATTGACACGATGATGATGATGATGATGATGATGATAATGACAATGATGAAACTTCACAAGCAGGAACGAGTACTCGATCAATTCGAGATTGAAGTCCTTTCAATCGTTGAACTTGTTTCATTTCGCATTCAGAATTACTATTGATATAATAAAAAAAAAAAAAATTTACAATTACATTTATAAAAGATTAAATATTTGTCAATTAGAAATACTCACTAATTATTTTTGGTCGTAACTGGAACGTTTTCAATTTTAAAGTTATAATTTTTCATAGATGGAAATGATGGAGAATTAACAGGAGGAACATAAGTATTGTACGTATAAACTTTACCACGTAAGGTATCTTCGACGTACTTTTTTTCTGTTGGTGATGGAGTACTACATGGAATGTCCAATGAAATTGGATATTCAATACGACGTGGCTCAATATATGTATCAGGAATCATTTTAAAATTCAATGACACTGGTATTTTTTCCTCTTTTTGAGGTGCTTTAGGCCCCTGAAATTTATTTTATTACAAGTTATCAGAGAGTTTTATTTTGTAAAATTAATAAATAGATATTTATTATTAATTTATTCTTTACTTCTATCTGAAAAGGTAATCGACGAGATGTAACGCAAGGTTCACCGTAAGTCACTATTTTAGCACCATTGTAATCTAAACTATAACAGTTTTCCAAGACACAAACTGAATAAACGATGAAAATCCAAGTTATCGTTTCTGAATTCATATCGATATCCTAAAATTCACAGTTCGAAATGTAATTAAACTGCGTCCAACGATTTTACGTGCTTAATATATATGTATTTATTAAAAACAATTGATCTTCCGGTTAATTACCAAATTAAACGATACATCGTATTATGCAATTTATAAATATGTATAATTAATAAAGAGTAAAAAAGTATAAAATTTTTCCTAAAAATTTCGTAATTTTTAAATGTGTTTGAACAAAGAGCAGTATGAAATTTCTACTTGCGGAAGTAAACTGCGAAAATATTTGACAGTGAAATAAAACACATACCGTTCTCTAAGAATTTTAAATACAACTGTTTTATATCAATCAGTATGGGAAGGTATAGATCGTTATTAAGATTTATTATTTATAAATTAAAACTTTTATAGATACATTACTGTATGATTTCGGTACATCGATTATTACTGAAATATCTCGTACGATTAATATAGTCTGGTTTTTAATTTTATCATATTATAAATATTAAAATAATCGTGATAGTGAAATAGAATGTTTATTTTATTTTGAATAAAATATATAAAAAAATCATGTAAAAGAAATAAAAAGAAAAACTTGAAGGAAATTATAAAATATATACATATATATATATATATATATCTTTCCCCATTTTTTATGTTATATTTTGATTAAAAAATCCTTCTTCTTTTTAAAATTTCATAAAGTATTGATACATTCGCTTAAATTATGAAACTCGAAAAAAAAAATTATTTAGATATAACAAACACAACTCTTAGAACGAAAAATTTTTATTCTAATAAATTCTAAAAACAATAATGAAATATAATTGTATGTATTTTAATCATTTCATTATTTATATAATCATTATTTCATTTATGTATTTTAATCATTTCAAATTTTAATCTAAATGATTAAAATTTCAAAAATATATTTATCTATTCAAAAATAATCCTTTAGATAATATATTTAATATATTATAATTATTCGAAAAAATAATTGTTTTTTTAAAGAAAAAAATATTCTTTTTTTTAATATCATGGCTATATTAATAATTTTTACGTTGTACTAAAATTATATACTATATTATATTCAAATTTTTTATTTAAATAATTTAATTATTAAAAAAATAAAATAAAGTATTATTATATAATAATTATATGCTAATAATTACTAATTATTATAATAATTTTTTATTATTATAATATTTTTTATGAAATATGTATAAACACAGTTATTAAAAAAACATAAAATTATATTTTTAATATTATTTATTTTTATTATTATTAGTATTATTATTATTATTATATAAATAATCAATAAATAATTATCTTTTTTAAATTTCATATAAACTTAATATAGATATTATATAGAAAATTTTATTTATTTCATTATTTGATTATTTGGTTTTTTTTATAATTTCTTAAATACAAAATCAGTAAATATTATATATAGTTTTAAATAAATTTATTGATATAATATAAAAAATAATATATAAAATAATATGTATAAATGTAATAATCAAAGGTATAGAATTAATATTATAAAAATTTGTTTATTACAAGATACATATTTATATAATTTAATCAATCCTTTCAGTTATGTATATAATAGATATTATAATCTATATAATATAATAAAAACCAATAACAAACATTTTTCATTTTTTAATTTTTTCATTTATTAACAAAAAAAAATAAATAATTTTTCATTTATTAACAAAAAATTTTAATGTACAATTTTAGTATAATTTGAACTTAAAAAATCAAATCTTGCATTATTTGATATATTATGTTGGACATGACTTAGATCCTGAAGTCTGAAGTTCCATATTTTCATTAAAAAGATTTTCTTGGACTATTATTCTGCCTGGAATATAATCTGGTCTAGATGGTCCCAAAGATCCACATGGTTCTTCTTCACTCTCATCAATTTTCATATTGCTTATTCCTTGATTATAACTTGTAGATTTTGGATAATTTGCATTTACTGGTGCATAGCCTAAATCTCTGTAAATAATTAGTAATATAAAATTAATAATAATTAAATTACATATTCTTTAATATGCGTAAATGTGTATATAAATATTAATAAAAATATTAACAATTTTAAGTAATTATTTTAAGTCATTACTCTTTCTTACTTGTAAGTAATAAGACTTTCTGACATTTGATTAGAAGTTTCTTCTTGTGTTATACTTTCACGTTCAATTGCTTCAAGTTCTGCTAATTTAGCCTCTTCTTGTTCATCATAGGAACCAATAACAACAGTTTTTGGAGGTGCTAATTTTAATTCTACAACAGGTTTGTTAACTGTTACTAATTTTTCTTCTGCAATATCAAGAATTTGATTTTCATTTTTTACATCAGTTGGTAGTGTTCTATGACCAAAAGATAATTTATCTTCTGGAACAAATTGTTTTCCTTGTCTATAAATTACATTTGGCGCACGAAGATTTTTGTATGCAAGAGTAAGAGAAACTGCATCTGCTGGCATTGCTGCTGGATATGAATTATGATCTTGAATTTCATCTGAAAAATATATAATTTTTTTTAAATTTTTATATTTTATTAAAAATTACAATAATATATTTAATAATTATTAAACCTGTAATATAATCAAAACAATCTGAAGAACTGCTGCTCATTTTTGAATATTGTTTTTGTCCATTTCCATTATTTAAATTAAAAATAGGTAAATTATTATACATTGCAGAATTTGTTTCAAAGTTCATATTTCCATATGAATTAGATGTACTAAATGATTTGGGATCAGAATTAGATATAATTTCAGTTTTTCCAATAGCTGTGTTTATACATGTTTCATAAGGAATTGAAGGAGGACAACATACAAGTTTGCCAGGATAAGCTGGTGTAACCTTAGTTTTTTCTATTAATTTTCCACTATTAGGTTCTATTGGAAGAGGATAACATAAATCTCCAATTGGTGAAAATCTAAAGATAAAAATTTAATATATAAGTTTTTATATGATTCTTGATTTTAAATATAGTTTAAATTTTATCAGTTTTATAAATATTTATAACTTTAAATAAATTTATTAATAAAAAAAAACATGTACCTAGGTGCAACATTGCCATTGAAATTATTAGAATCTTCCAATGTTTCTAAATTTTGTTTAGATTCATTAGAATTATCAGAATTAGTTGAACCAGAACAGCTATATGCAGTTGCACTACTTTCACTTTGTGTTTTTAAATTATTGTTATTGTATGTATTTTCATTACATCCACAAGTATTGCTCTTTGAATCACTGCTACTTTGAGGAATAGAGTTGCTATTACTTTGTGAATTAGAGCAATCAGTTTGACTAATTTTTGCATTTGCAGCATTCTTGATTTCTTGTGGTGATACATAATGTGTAGGTTTTGGTAATTTTGTAGCTTTCACAACAACCTCGTTAGAAGTGCAAGGATTTGAACCTATAAGCAATATAATTGAGTTATTAATCTTTAAAAATTGTTCTATTACAATTAAATTTTCTAATTATATTATATACCTTGTCCCAAACTACCGCACGTACATTCCTTATTTTGTACTTGAACTATTAAATATGCTATTGTTAAGATAAAAAGTGTATTCAATATTGAAGACTTCATATTGATGAGTATCTTCTGAACATTCTGATTCATTCTTTTTTTTTAAACGCTTTATATATACAAAAAAATCTGAATTTAAAGATAAATTATGCAATTTAATAGCATATTGCATTTCCTGTTATTTTTTAAAATACTATAAAAACTTCCTGTATTTTTAAAAAATGGACATTTAAATAACATTTGAATAGTAAATATATTTGATTAAATTTTGATGGTAATGTAAACGAATATATATATGTATTGGATATAATTTAAATTACGATACAATATGTTTAATGAATTGAACGTTGTACGTGATAATTTGATGAATCGGTATTTCCGTGTAACTTCCATGTTATTGTTTATATATATGTCGCGGGACAAAATATTTTAATTTTCGGTTTGGTATCAATGAAGACATTATTTTTTAATATGCATTTTATTATAAAATATGAATTTAATGAATACTAAAGATGTATTTATTTACATTTGTTATTCTATTATATAATAATATATTTACAGTTATATACAATACATTATATGTTTTTACATCTTACTTATTAAAAAAGTCTGCTGCTCTTTGCCTTTGAAGAGGCAAATTAAGCAAATTATCGGTAAGAACAGAATCTTGACATCGTGTATTGCTGTTTTCAAGATGATTTTCAGATTTTAAAACTGTATTTATTCGTGGAGTGCTGGGTGTTCTGATACCTATTGATGGTGTCTTTAAAGATGATATCCTTCGTGGAGTTGGTGTACTTGCTATACGAAGTTTTTGAGTAGCTAATCTTCTAGCAGCTGGAGACATAGTACTCAAACGATCCATAGTTGATCTAGGTGATGGACTAGATAAAAGAAGATAAAAATCAGTATAAATTTTTTAAACAATTAAATAACACAAATAATAAGGAATAAATATTTACGTTGCTAATGATTTTCTTGCTGCTTCTAAAGCTTTATTTTTTCTATCTCTATGTCTTTCACCAGCTTTTTCTGCTAGTTGTAATGCAAGTTGCTCTCTTTTTGGAGGTTCTGCCATTCTAAATGATGGTCCTTGACTTGTTCTCAATAATGGTGTATCCCCTCCATCTAATCTGAATGGTGTACCTTCTATTTGACCCCATGTCATTAAAGGACTCTCACATTCTCCAGGTCTTGGACTTGGAGTTGCTACAAAGCTAAATCCATTTATTCTAGGTGTTGGATTTCTTACAATTTCTTTGCCATCAACTCCTATCTTCCCATCATTAGCCTTTGATTGATTTTTTGCTAATTCATTAATAGTTTCTTTATTTTGCTGTTCATTAAAAGGATTAATTCGAAGTCTCGTATTTTCATGTACTACTATTTGTTTTTTCTTAGCTAAATCTATTCTTTCATCAGGAGTTAATTCTACTCCATCAGGAACATACATAATGTAATTTTTATTTTTATAATTCCAACTATCTAATTGATTTTTGTTATCATTTTCAAGAGCTAAGGTATTTGAATTTTTATCATTTTTCGATACTTTAGAATTCTCTTCAGCTTTATAAAGCCAAGCAAATTTAAGCTTTAGTCTTTTTTCTGCTTCGATCATCATCTCCTCAAAACTTGCATTATCTTCACTTGTATGAGTACTCAAATATGCATCCAATCCAGATGTAAGCTCTGTTTTGTCTTTATCTTTTATAATTTTATCAACAGGTGTATCTTTTGATTCTTTTGAAGACTTAAATTGTTCATCTTCTGATTCAATTTTATTCATAGGTGTTTCAAATGTAGCTGGACTAGCAGGTCTTTCAGTTGTTGGACGTCCTGAACTATATTTTTCATAAAGTTCTCTCATTCTTTTCACATCATTTTGTTCTAATGCATCTAAATATTGATTTTGTGCTTGAAGTTTATCTAAATGTGGAAAAAAATCTCTTTGAATAATTTCTCCCATCCTTTTTATATATGTATCTTCATCTAGGATTTTTGGTTGTACTTTTTTATGTTTTTTTGCAACACCTAATGGTTTTTTAAATACAGCTAAGTCTTTCATATTTTTAGCTACTTCCAAAGCTTGAGATCCTGGAGTATCCATTCTTAAATTTAAAATAGTAATATATGCTTAAAAAAAAAATAAAAAATATTAGTAATTAAAAGTAGTTAAAATATAATAAAAATAATTTACTATATAGATTAAACAATTGACACATACATTTGTAAAAAAAAAATTAAGGTTATGTATTGGAACGTCTCAAACGTTTTTACTTTTAGATTTGAATTTAATTATATTCATAGTTTATATTCATTTTTAGACTTAAATAAATTATTGCTAATAGTTTCAATCTTTTTACAATTGTTCATACACTTATAAATGAACACGTAACACATATACATAGAACTTCAAACAAAAACACTACTTGTAAAACAATTAGCACAGATGAAGTTGGATAGAAAAATACCCAACATTTAAAGCATTTTGTATCATGCGTTAAGATATTTTGTCATTTTTAAAATTACGATTCGATTCGGATTTAAATCATAATTAGTAACGATTAAAATTGAAATTAAATTCCAATTTAAAATTATGAATAAAAAATAGCGAAAATATTACAGAACTATTATAGAATTTAAATGCCATCACTGTTGCCAAGCGATGGTACTTCAAAACACTCATATCATATATCAGAGTATATGTTTTTTATAAAGTTATTATTTTAAAAATATATTGTAAAGCCAAAAATGTAATATTTATATTCTTTATATTAAAGTTTAAGACACGTAATGAATTTTGAAAATGATGAAAATGTATTCAATTGATATACCATATTTTCTTTGAAGTCACGTGTTAAACCAAGTATAGACAAAGAGGTAAATTCATATATAAAAAAGATAGAAATTATAGAATTAGCGCCATCTCCAGAGTTGCGAATGAAATACACAAATACAAGGAAAAGAGATTGAATTGATTTAGTGCTATCTTTTGAATTCCAAAAATTTTTTTCAAAAATATTGAATGCCTTAATTTTTGCTCTATTTTATCCTATCTTTGAAAAAATATCTTTTCAGTACTCAAAAAATGGTGCTAAAGGCCAATACTTATTATATCTTTATTCTTTTTTCACTATTTTCTATCTTTTTTTTATATTTCATTTGTGGTACTTAAAGTAAAAATAATGCTAATTTTTATTACATCTCTATTTTTCTCACACATTTTGCTTTTTTTATTTATACTTTCCAAAGATATTTCTTCAAAAATATTTAATATTATTCTTCAATTTTTATTCTACTTTATTCTTTGAAAAAATATCTTTAATACTCAAAAGATGGCAATAAAAATCAATTCTTTATTATATCTCTATCTTTTTTTTATTATTTTCTATTTTTTCTTTATGTGTTTCATTTGCGGCATTCTAGAGATGGCGTTAATTTCACAATTTTTACTTTATTTCTATCCTTCTTACACAATTTGTTCTCCTTGTTTCTACTTGTTTTACAAAATTTATGGAAATATTTGCGAAAAGATATCAGAAAAATTATTTATTTATTATTATTTATATAATATATTATTATTTTTTATGAATTGAATATAATTCTTGCATTCGTTATTATAAGTCGTAAATATAATATATATATAATAATATAATAATAATAATATAATAATATAATAATATAATATATTTAAACATTAATTTTTGTATAATTAGTATTTTATAATATGAAACATAAAATTAAATATTACGTTCATTTTATATCTTATCTCTATAATTGTAATCTAACCAACGAATGGTAATACATGCTACATTTATTATGTGTCATGTGGCGCCATTGCATATCTGTTTATAGTTAGAATTTAATAAACTAATTAATTTACTTATTATCGTCTTATTATATTGTTATATTATCGTTATTATATTATTATTTTTTAATATTAGTGAATAAATTTAATATATTTTAAATGCAACAATTAATATTAAGAAAAATTATTTGTGATATTTTTTTATTTGAATTAAAAATTATAGAAACGCACTTACAAAGAAAGAAATATGAACAGAAACAATAAATTATTAAAAAATAATTTTTCATTATTCTGTTAATAAAATAAGATGTATTAAACGCATATATATACATTTTTTATAATATAACTCATAAATTATTTATGATTTTTTTTAAAAAATATAATTTTAGATTTCAAATTTAACAATAATTTTTACAAATGTTACAAAAATTACATAGCATAATGTTTAAAACATTAAATAGTAATAAGATTTTCTTTGCACAGTTATCAATAAAAAATCAAAGAAAATATCAAGGCCGTTCGATGTGATCACATTACGCTACACAATAGAAATTAAGAAAAATAAAAATTCGATGGGATAATTGACATACCGTGCAAGTACGGCCCTGGTTTTGGCCACTCAGTAAGTAGTTGAAGTGATATTTTGGTCGAGCTGGGACAGTGGGATGGGATATGATTGCCTTCTCGTATTGCCGTGGCTTGAGACATGGACTCTCGGAAGAAAAGAGGAAGAGAGACCGAGCAAAATGATCCGAGAGGCTCCGAGGTGTTGGAAAGGCACGATGAAAGACATATGAGGATTCCAGCGGCGAGATAGGATATGCCTGCCGACTCTCTCTCTATGTTACAGCGAAAATCTTTTGAGATTCACTTTATACGTATTACTTTTCTTTTGTCTGCTTTTTTTCGTAAAATTGGCAAGTATTGGATTGTGGCGAAAGAATTCTGTAAAAACATTGATTCATTCACATGCTTGATTGTGATTTTATGTCAATTTTTTTTTTTTTATAAAAAATGCTACAACTAAAAATATATCAATAGTGAATAAAATAAATTAATGTCAACAAAATTTAACATAAAGTTTAAGTGGAGGATTGAAATTCTTGAAACTTTATAGAGCACGTGGTTCTTCGTGTCAACTTCGGGTGTAAGAAAGACGTCCTTCTATTTACGACATAAGGTAAACTTCTTTTAAGTCTTATGGTTCACGGTCAGTGTCTGTCTTCAGATACTTCGCTTGCTTGGACAGTTTTCATGGCGCTAACAGACATGTCCGTCTTTCTTCCTGTTTTCTTCCTACCATACATATTTCAATAAAATTAATTCTCATTATGCATTCCAGGAAGTAATATATATGCGAGGAAAATAGAAAAAATAGGAACGTTTGCCATTTTGGCTCAAACTTAAATTTATGATCAAACCCAATTTTAAATCATATTTGTTCCAAGTTACTTGTCGTCGTGCAATTAAGGAGGATGAGTCGACAACCGGTAATCTATAGTGATTTTATTATTGCTAATAAGTCTGTAGCATAATTATGCCCATTACTTTTCAACATAATATATTATATCCAATGTTCAATTTCTGTTTAATAATAAATCAGTGTAATAATAAATTCCATTTTTTTTTTTTAAATTTAACGAAATTTATTTTCTCTAAAATAAGATATATAATTTGAATTAAACAATAGCCATTATTTTAATGTAATTATTATTATACAATGTAAATATTAATTGATTAAAATAAGAAAATATAAACTATTAATCTATGTTTCCCAGATTTAAATTCAATACTTAAATAAAAGTCGAGTTACTTATGGCGCAAAAGAAGAGTGGTGATGACGAAGAAATTTAAGAAGTAGACAGAGACGAAGGTTGCAGACGTAAAGCATAAACAGTCGAGGTGCGATTTGACGCACGCTCGGGCCATCCAAGGCACATCTCGCTCGCTGAACGTACGCTTTAAGAATCCCGAAGAAGCGACCAGCCCGATGGCTGGAATCTGTAAATCTGTCATTGCAGCCATATTCGTGTGGCTGGTACCGCAGGATATGAACTTCTGCTCGTCGTATATGCCACCATCGTACGAGACTCTAGATCTACACGCTTCTCTTCTTTTGAGAGCTTTGCACCGAAACGGAAGCTTCTCCCTATCTCTCGAAATAACAAATATTCTTTTTGTCTTCACGAATTTTTTTTTTACTTATATATATATATATATATATATATATATATAATAACAAAACAGAAAAGTTTTCTTTTTCAATTTTCTTCATTTGCTATAAGATTTTGAAGAATTTTCCGATTATAATTAATTTAAATTTTTTTCATTTAACGCATTTAAATTAATTTTCACTTTTATTATAAAAAATAATTAAATGAAACTTAATTAGTACGTAGAAGAAAAGTTGTACCGTTGAATTGTTCATTCATCCACACTTTTCAGAGTTTTAATCTATTTTTCTTTTTTTTTTTTGAGCGACCAATGAATGCTCGAGAGTGGAGTGCGGTTCTTGTCGAAGGTATAAAAACCCTTTGGTTGTATCAAACTGCATGGAAACTATAAAAGCTCCTGGCAGTCGCTGCACGTATACGCAGTATTCCCTCTGGTAGCTAGCGATGACGGATTCATGGCTCGTGGGATAACGCAAGACCTCACCCCAAGATGTTTCGGTTTACGGATGCACGCTCTTCCTTGCTTTTTCTTCCTATTTCTCACCTTTTTTTCTTCTATCCACTGAGCGATTCATTTGTCGGTCTTTGATCCGTAACCAACAAGCTACTACCGGAAAATTAGCCAAATTTATTTAGTTGCTTTCCTTATCTCGCTATCTGTCATTTTATTCTTCTTATTTCTAATGCTACCTATCATTTCGTCTCCTATTTATAATAGAATTTCATTCATTTCATAACGTTTGGATGATCAAACAAAAAGGTGAAAAATGTATTTCGTTCAAACTCCACCAATTTACTTACTTATTTTTTTTTTTCTTTCAAATAGTATTTTATTAATTTAATAATTAAGAATGATAACATATTGAACATGAATATTGAATATTGGAAAGCTATAATTTTTTTTCTAGATATATGTATCTTTTTTAATATCCATTTCTTATAAGTTTTATTCATTTAAGAAATATTTTTTATTTTTTTTTTTTTAGGCAAAGTGATAATTAAATTTATCAAACGATGAATCATTGTCATAATCGTAATTGAATTCATCAATCATCAATTGGAATACGATTATCGGAGAAGACCGATTTCTTCATATCAGTTTGAAAAACAAATCTGCAACGATGAGATTAATTCCAGAAGTGGAGAAAAATGCCACCAGCAGCGCAGTGTCACCTAACCCTGCCAGGGGTTAACTTCTATAGAGCTAGTACCTACGAGGAAGATGAAAGAATAAGCGAAGGATAGGCCGACGGCCGCTTTTTATTACCGGCGCCGTCACGCGTCACCGATAAGCGCGGTCTTTCTGTAGCCGAAAAGTCTATGCTTGCACCGGTTCTTCCGAAACACCGAGATTTCTTCTTTTCTTCTTTACTTTTGCTCCTCGTATCCCCAGTTAAAAGAAAGTTCTATTTCTTTTACGAACGCGCGCTAAGAATCTTAAAACTTTGTCCAACTATCCTACAAGAACATGTTAAAAGTATAATAATTATCTTTATCTATTTTATTTATTATAAATTAGAAAAGAATATTCAAAATTGATTATTATTCGAATATAATTTAATATTAATATGAAATTGATTGATATATATTGTTTTGAATATTAATTTAAAGAGAAATAATTATATTTTGTTTTTATTCTATTCTAAATTTTTATTTCTATCTTTTTCTTTGCAAAAAACATGCGCAGATTACGAACGACTTTGTTTTGTGAATGCACGAGGGAAGATGTTCACCAAGAGTCATTAAGGATATGCTATACTGTAATATGTTTACACAACGAGCTTCTTCGCGTCGCCATCAATCATGGTGCACGTCGGTCTATCCGTTTTTCTACGCTTAGGAACCGACAAACTGCTACCTCGCTTTGTTGGCATTAGTTTGTCATTTCTAGCAATCTTGATGTCAAAATTATGCACCACGTTCATTTAATGAACGTTTACCAAAATCATTTCGAGCAGCCATTTGGTAAACTTCTTTGACAAATTTTGAATTCAAGAAAAAAAAAAGGATAGTTTATATATATAGAAGGGAATCACAAAAGAGAATATTTGTAAGAGATTGTGAAATAATTATGTGAAAAAATTATGCACCACAATTTAATGAACGTTTACAAAATCATTTTCAGCAGCCATTTGGAAAACTTCTTTGACAAATTTTGAATTCAAAAAAAAAAGAAAAAGAAAGGATAATTTAAGAAAAAGGAGTTATGTATATAGAAGGAAATCACAAGAGAGGATATTCATAAGAGATTGTAAAATAATTATGTGAAAAAATAATGTACCACGTTCATTTTGAGTTCAAAAAAAAAAAAAGAAAGGATAATTTAAGAAAAAGGAGTTATGTATATAGAAGGGAATCACAAAAGAGAATATTTTTAAGAGATTGTGAAATAATTATGTGAAAAAATCATGCACCACAATTTAATGAACGTTTACCAAAATCATTTTGAACAGCCATTTGATAAACTTCTTTGACAAATTTTGAATTCAAAAAAAAAAAAAAAGAAAGGATAATTTAAGAAAAAGGAGTTATGTATATAGAAGGGAATTACAAAAGAGGATATTTTTAAGAGATTGTAAAATAATTATGTGAAAAATTATGCATCATGTTCATTTTGAGTTCAAAAAAAAAAAAAAGAAAGGACAGTTTAAGAAAAAGGAGTTATGTATATAAAAGGGAATCACAACAGAGGATATTTTTAAGAGTGTGAAATAATTATATGAAAAAATTATGCACCACAATTTAATGAACGTTTACAAAATCATTTCCAGCAGCCATTTGGTAAACTTCTTTGATAAATTTTGAATTCAAAAAAAAAAAAAGAAAGGATAAGAAAGGATTTAAGAAAAAGGAATTATGTAGAAAAATTTAAGAAAAGGAATTATATAGAAAGGAATCACAAGAGAGGATATTCATAAGAGATTGTAAAATAATTATGTGAAAAAATTAGGTACCACGTTCAAAAAAAAAAAGAAAGGATAATTTAAGAAAAAGGAGTTATGTATATAGAAGGGAATCACAAGAGAGGATATTCATAAGAGATTGTGAAATGAACTAATTAAAAGTTCTGAATAGTTGGTATTAATATTTTTTTTTCTCATTTTCTTATATAAAGCTCTTATTTTTCTTTTTTTAAATATGTTGTTTAACATAAGCAAGGCAAAAAAGTTTCGAAACACAATGGTACATGATACTTGTCGAATAATTTATTAAGGCACTTAATAGCCGAGTTCTCTCATGGGTTGTCACGGTGCGTTTACTTTCCCGTCTTGGCTCGAGAGCGTTTTAAGCTCGTTTGGCATTTCAGACACCCTGTATAAATAGATGCACTTTGCTCCTACAAAAGGCACTTTCTTTTTCGACTGACTCGCTACGGACCTACGACACTAACCGATTTGTATCACGCAATTTTATCATCGTGAACGCCAGTCGATCTTTATTGTATATATATATATATATATATGTATATATATCTTCACAAGATCCTCCAGTAAATCATTTGTATAATCATTTTTCATAAATCTTATAAATATTCTAAATAATATGAATCATCGAGTTTTATATAAGTATCTTTAAATAAATAGAGAGAGTTTACAACATCATATATAACAATTATTTACTCGGGGATCTTGAATCTCGAGAAATATAATAAACATATATTTCCATACAAACCTGATAAGACACTTACGTTACATACGTGTATAATTTAAATAACTCTATATCCTTAAGGCTAGTTTACATTATATCTTTGATACAAACATTCGAGCGAATGTTTCTTATTTATTTATTTCGTATATCTTATTTAAACGTAACTCGTTAAATTAACTCATATAAATTCATTCATTCTTCAGTGTAAAAACTTATCTTCTATCACCTGACACGTTATTATCACGTTACTTTGGTATCGACGAATCAACGAACGCTCCACTAATTTTCTCCAATTTTAATAACTTTTTGCTTCTTTCTTTCTTTCTTTCTTTCCCCTTCTTCTTCTTCTTTCTTTTTCATCTTCGATTTAATAGATAATTATTTTTATCCACTATTCGAATTACGATCACAACGATTCACAAATTTTACCGTGTCATTCTCTGATTCTCAGGGAGGGAGGATGATCCGAATTACCGTGGCCCGTGATACAATGACGGTCCAGGATGAGAATGATGAGGATAGTGGATGGAATTCATGTGCGCAGTCGGTTGCCCATGGTGTCCCGCGTATGGCCAAGGCCCGGCTGCGGTTGCTCCGTAAAATTGATGATGCTCTTGGCCCGATGATATGCTTGGAATTTGCACTGTGGGTATAGCGTTCACGTAGTTGGACGACAAAACGCTGCCACTTCCTGTCGCGGCCCTCTTCGCCGGATTCTGCATCCCCGGGACAACCGCAACCGGCTCGCACTCGTCCGACTCGCAATCCCGAAAACCTTTCGCGAACGGATTGCTCGCGATCTTCAGCTGCGTGATACGATGATTCTGATAAGCGGTGACGGCGGTGAATCGCGTCTCGGGAAAGGTGAATGTTTTAAAATTCTCGGTCCGTGGATCCGGGGCAGAGCCCGGTGGCGAGGGCGCCACCACTACGTGGCATCGTGGCTGATATCGATGCATCGAATTCAAGATTATCTGTAAACATTGATGAATCGAATTGAAACGAATTTATTAGCTACTAGTTAACCTAAAATTTTTCTCTTTCGCAAGAAATCATGCGATTATAGCGATATGTGTATAATCGGGATAATAATAAAAAAATAATAATAATAAGTAATAATAAAAAGAGAAAAAGAGAAGAGGAAAAGGGAAGAGAGGAGAGAGACGAATTTATTAGTTACTAGATTTGTTAACCTAAGATTTTCTCTTTCGCAAGAAATCATGCGATTATAGCGATATGTGTATAATCGGGATAATAATAAAATAATAATAATAATAAATAATAATAAAAAGAGAAAAAGAGAAGAGGAAAAAGGAAGAAAAGAGAGAGACAAATTTATTAGTTACTAGTTAACCTAAGATTTTCTCTTTCGCAAGAAATCATACGATTATAGCGATATATGTACAATCGAAATAATAATAAAAAAATAATAATAATAAGTAATAATAAAAAGAGAAAAAGAGAAGAGAAAAAGAAGAGAGAGAAGAGAGACGAATTTATTAGTTATTAGTTAACCTAAGATTTTTCTCTTTCGCAAGAAATCATAATGCATGCGATTATAGCGATATATGTGTAATCGGGATAATAAAAGGAAGAGAAAAAGAGAAGAGGAAAGGGGGGAGGGGGGAGGAGGGCGAAAAAAGAGAGGAAAAAAAAAGAAAGGCACACGTGAGGATCTTCCTTCTCTGAGAGAGGAAGGACTACCGCAGGGGGGCGGTCACAATGTTTGACAGCCACAAGAGACTCGGTGACTAATTAGTGTAAAAACTAACCCCCCCCGATTTTCTTCAGCAATCCGACACCCTCGTCCTTCCTCTTGCACACACTTACCGCGGCATATGCTAGGGCATGTGTTTCTTTGAATACACGGAAAAAGGAGTGCTGGATGTGAGGGGGAGGGGGAGGTAGAAAGAGAGAAAGAAGAGTCATCCTCACGATGCGTACGGTGTGTGTGGCCTAACCTAAAATCTCTTTGGACGATTGCGATTTTTCCTCCTTTTTTCTTTTGTTTTTTTTTTCCTCTTCTTTCTTTCTTTTCTACTTTTTATTCATTAATATCATTCGATCACGTTTCATTTCTTAAATATTTTTAAATTTCATTATTCTTAAATATATATCTCTTTTTTTTCTTCTTGTTAAAAAGCGATAACATTCGAACAGTTATGTTCATTCGCTTTGAAAATACGAAACCGCCAATTAAGAGAGTGAAATCGTTAAGCGTTTCAACGCTGAATTCCAATTTTTTTTTTTTTTTTTTTTTTTTTTTTTTATAAAACCCGGTGGTACGCGTTTTCGAGCGCAATTAAGGGAACAAACTGTTCCATAGCGCGTGAAAGGGATCCCTCTTTCCTCTACGAGTCAAAATTTTTTCCGCGCGGAAAGCAATAAATTTTCGTGTGGAACGCGAGCTGCAAAGTTTTTCGTATTTTGACAGTGCGCGGTGTTCAAAATAAAATCCATCCGATCAAAACAATCTCGTGTTTATCTCGTATTTATCTTCTTTTGTCGAATAATTTATGTGTGAAATTTCTATTCTTTTTTTTTTTTTTTTTTCTATAAAAATTATTAAACTCTAAGTAAATAATATAAATCGAATTTTCGAATAAATCTGTTCGTTAAAATTTATCGATTTATTGATTCGCGTTTAGAATAATCCACGATACACCACATCCATCGTGTCACCACATGCTCGTGCAAATTTTGAAATAAATGTATCATGATCAAGAGCAACCAAATTGATATCAATCCCGAGAGGATAAATCGCGACATCTCGTTCAACAACGAGAATCGAACTGTTTTGCGCACCGTCCTTTCACCGATCAACAACTTGACTGAATCGATCGATGATGAATTCATTAATCAGCATGCCAATACCGATTCACCGCACGCCGAATCATTTTACTTGCAACACTTGCCTGACACGTATGAATTTGGCACGAATACATAGGAACGATTATTTTTGGCGCAGCACTGCAGGTGCATTAGGACACAATGAAGAGGAACGAGAGTTAAGAAGAAGAGTCTTCCCCGAGTCTTCGACATTACAGTGTAAAAAAAAAAAAGAATGATAAGAAAAATTTATTTTTCATTTTTCCATACTCTGCATATATCTATCTATTTTGTAACGTACGAGTAAATTTTTCATTCGAATTTTTAATTCGAAATTCGAAATTTTTAATTCGATTCGATTCGATGAATAATATAAATTTAATTACCAATAAAAACTTTTGAAACGTACGAGAAATTGCGATGACGAGTTTCAAATTTTTCTATTCGAAATAATTCGATTCGATTCGATAAATAATATAAAAAATATAATTTTTGAAACGTACGAGTAAATTTTTCCATTCGAAATAATTCGACTCGATTCGATGAATAGAATTATATAAATTTAATTACCGATAAAAAACGTAACTTTTGAAACGTACGAGAAACTACGATGACGAGTTTCAAATTTTTCTATTGGAAATAATTCGATTCGATTCGATGAATAATATAAATTTGGTTACCGATAAAAAAAACTTTACAAAGTTTTACATTTTCCCGTATGGCATATTTATAAATTTCCCGTGGTATCGCGGAGTGAAAAATTCTTCCACGCTGGCAATCCTTTTCGAAAGTCGTAAACACGTCGAAATCGTTTCGCCGTCTTTTTCCCAGGCTTCTACGAGGTTTAGTTTATATTACATATGTTTACGTTACTTTACGGTGCGGTATAGTTTCCATTGGCGTTCTTCGTGGCGACAGGAGAACAGGATTAATAAGGCGCGGACAAGAGAAGATCTAAAGAGTATACAAAGTGAGAGGTGTGCTCGGTGTAGAAATACGACTAAAGCTAATGATAGACTTCTGATATTAGCGATCGCAACTTTAAACAGTCTACCAGTGCACGCAGATACGTGGGAATCAATGAAACAACCGATTTGTCGAATCGACTTCCCCTTGATCGTGATTTTATTCCTGAAATTATATCCATTTATCACGGGAAGGATTCTGAAGGAAGTACGGAGTCAATGACTCGTTGGCCACGCGATAATGTTCCATCTGCCAACAAGGCATAAATCTGAGGAACGTGTTAAAACAATTATTGCTACTAATTACTCGTAAGACTATAATAGCTTCTAATGGAACCATATCTCATTGTCGTACTTTGTAATCGGTATATCGTTCATTCAACATTAATTTTTTTTCTTCGTTCAACGTTCATTCGATCGCGAATACTTTTTTTCCTCGCTCGATTCGAACGTGTTCGAAAAAAACTGCGTATATATATATATATATATATATATATATATATATATCAAAAAAACGAATCATTTTACGATTATTTAAGGGGGATGGAAGAGAAGGAAGGACGAGACATTAAAAGACGAATTATCTCATAAAAATTAACAACGTGTAGGTTCCACCGTTGTAATTGCTCGCGGTAGGCAGGCTCGTATCTCAGGTCAATTAAGGCGAACTCGTCCGTAAACGACAAACACATGGAACGCGATACCGCCGTGAAAACTTCTCTCGCTGTCCCTCGTTCTATTTTATTACCCAGGTGTTTCTTCATTTTTAACGCGTTAAAAACCATTGTTTCAAATCGATTTCTAGATCGATTTTAATATTTTAGAAACATTTCCATAACATTTCTCGACGAAATTTGACGTTTTAAAAAAAAAAAAAATATCGTAATCGTGTTTATTAAATCATCAACTTACGTGCCCGTTGTCGTCGAGCTGATTGTTGGTGAGTTTCAACTTATCGAAGGAGACCGGTTGCTTCATCCAGTGAGCTCCGCTCGCGGGGCTGTCGGGGTGTACGTGAATTCTCGGGGGCGAGACCGGATCGGCTCGGCCGGCAACCACCCAAGCGCTGCTATGAAAAGCGTATCTGTACCTCTTGTCGTCGCAGGGTACGAAATCCATGACGAGGAGGTAATCGGTGGCGGGATCCAATCCGAAGAATCGACACTGCAAGTATTAAATATTTATACATTTATATATACATATTATGGAAGCAGACTTTTATTCTTATAATACGCTCTTCATAAAATGCCACTGACGATCATAATACGTATAACGAGCGACTCGAGTTATTCTTTATCGACTATCTTTCTCTCGAGACGTAGTAGCATCGGTATTTTGTTTTTATCGTTTGTTTCCTCGCAATACCATTATTGACATTTATTATTATTATTATATTCCGTAACGTTATTTGAGTTCCAAAGTGTAATTAAATGCGAGCGTGTTTAGAAGTTATAAATATCCCGTTTCGAGGAAAGTTTTTTTTTTTTTTTTTCAATAAACACCGAGGTCGATCTGCAATGATCTTTCTCGCAGTGCCGTGCACATTTTTCGCTCGGGGAAAGGATTAATACCTGGAAAGTAGGAAACATCCTTCTTCCAGCTTTGGTGACGATCATTTCCGTCCCCAATTGATGAAACTCTTCCCAAAGTGGTTTCGCTTCGAGGGCGGCCCCGGCGCCTACAAGGGCGGGGTGAAGAGGCCTCTTCGAGCAAATCTCCTCCGACGAATTCGCGCCGTTCTCGGTCGGATGATGATCGCCGTGATGATGATTGTTGTTGTTGCTATCGTTGCGCTGGGACTCGACGGCGGCCGACGAGGAGACGGGAGTGGAATTCGTAGGTTGGGCAGTCAACGATCCCTTCGACAGATTCGGGCTGCGGGATCGCTTCACCCTTCCCGCCGATTGTAAACATGCTAAATAAACGATGATAACGATTAATTAAAGGGGAGGGGAAGGGGGAAATTTCAAAGGAACGCGCATAATGAAACTACCTTCCATTTGTTGCATCGGAGACGGTAAATTCGTCACGGGTTGACCGTGCTGGCTCTGATGATGAGAGATCCATTGTTGATAACAACAATCAGCGGTGATATCGTGTCGTTGATCATATTGCTGTTGCATCTTTTTATATTCTCGAGTCGCATCAATGAAATGATTGTCCGTTTATTTTAATAATTATTTTAATAATTTTTAATAATTATTATTAATAAACTTATTTACTTATTTATTTACTCGAAATCGAGAACTTTTACTTTAATATAATAAAAATTTAAAAATTTATATATATTTTCGGAGATTTTTATTTAGAAGAAAAAAAAAAAAAAAGAAAGAAACTTCCTCTTCTTGATCTTGATCGCGCACAATTTTGATCACTACTCGACGAGTAACAAAAAACTTTCACAAAAGCACAACAAAACGTTTCAAGCACTTGTACAATCTTTTTTCATTTTTTTCCTCGACCAAGGCACTGTTTTCCTTCCTGGGGAGGAGGGGGGCGGAACTAAACTCTTCGACTCGCATAAAACAATCGGGCGCGCGAAAATACCGCAAGAGATGCAAAACCGTTTGTCTTTGTACTTGAAACACCGAGGAGTGGCAAAAAAAAAAAAAAAAAAAAAAAAAGGAAAGAAAAGGAAATCGGCGAACGGAGATTCGTAGAATGCTTATCTTTCGTGACCGCTCATTAAGCGTTTCAAGGCAATCAGCGAGGTTCGAGATCCTGGGCGAATATCAGAGGTTGCTCGACATCTCACGACGGGATCTCACACCTCTCGTCAACAGGGCTTGTCCTCACCTCGAGATCCGGACGCTGACAAGGCTTAAAGCCGCGGCGAGAAACGCGGGGCATCGGATGAATCAGAAAGAACTCCCCCGAGTCGACTACATCTCGTGGCTTATCATCGGTACATCACTCTCCGATCTGTACGCGCTCCCTCTCTCCCCCCCCCCCTCTCTCTCTCTTTTTCACAGAAATCTCCTCCTCCACATTCTGCCGGTCTTCCACTCCACAAAGTGGTGAAACCTCGATCGAGGAACCTCGCTAGAGGAGGAGGAGGAGGAGGAGGAGGAGGAAGGATCGGAAGGAAGGGAAAGTTTTTACGAGGGAGGAGGGGTCTCCCGAAGATCCTCCTCCACGCGGACACCCACGCTAGAACCGACTCGCGTTCACGGGATGGTACACGAGTACATCCTCTTCCTCCGAATCCCGTGCCAAAAGGCGGAGTCTTCGTGGACGGGGACGAAACACACGGGGGTAGAACGTAGCGCACCGTTCCTCAGGGGCGAGGCACGGATCTCGCGTACCTTGTGGCTACGTGTTGCTTCACAGAGTTCATTTGGAATAACGTGCCCGATGATCCCGTACACCGATAATGAAAAGAAAAAGTGTTAAGTGTTCCCTTTCAGTCAGAGCAAACGTTCAGAATTTAATTTAATCGATCTACAATTCGATCTCTATAATTTTCATCGTTTTCATTGATTCGATTGATTTTACTACGTAATCTTTGAGTTAAAGTTTGTTGTATTTTTTTAAAGTTAATCTTGAGAGAAAACTTAAGAATTAAGAATTTATCGGAAAAATTTTATTCCTTGATAATTGAAAATTTTCTTTTTTTTTTTTTCAATACATAGTTTCTAAGAGAATGTCATTAAGTACAAACTGTTTTGAAATTATTATATTTTTAATTCTTGTAATCGATAAGTGTGTATATATGTATATATAGTTCTGTTATTTATTTTAAGATAACGTTTTAATTCTATTATTAATTTTAAAAGATAAATATTCATTTAAGAATCTATTTTAAAGATTTTTTTATGTTTATATTTTATACGTAATAATGTCAATTATATACGAAATTTCGAATATTATTCTTATATTCGATCGAGAAGTTCGAATCTAGATTATATATATATATACATGTATTTGTTATTTTGACATTATACTAAACTCGTAAACCGATCTAATCGTAAATTGTTAAAATATCGAAAGAATACGAAAAAATAATTAAATAGTGTATTTCGTTGAAAATGGATAAAATTGTACAATTAAATATGAATTTTATTCGATATTATTCGCAACATTATTAATAGTACCAATAGGATTTTAAATATATATATATATATATTGTATTAAATATATGTACAAAAAGTTAGGTGAAAAAAATTAAAGATTAGGATGATTCTATTTAAGTATGAATATGTATATCAAAGGCTCAATCGATAGATATATGTTAGAATATGAATGAGAACAAAAAATGGTGAATGAATGTTTTTTTCGTGAATTTTATTTATAAGATAGAAATTAATGTACAAGTACAAGGGAGGCAGACATGATAGGTGTTTGTTGCGCTGATTTTTACAGAACAGTAATCTTATAATGATTTCTTCTTATATACGATTCGTACCTGTGACATCACTGAAAAATAGTTTTCTATGATCTACATACATGATACACGAGAAAAAAACGTGTCAAGAGAATGAACAAGATTGATAACAAAATATAAATATATATGTGCATGAAATTAGTGAAATTATTCTCAAAAAAGGGACCGTTAATGTTTATAGGGGATCGTTTTATGATAAAATCCTTACAAATCGGGGTTTCTTCTTATATTCCTTGTTTTTTTGAATCTTATGTATACATACATATGCATAACTTTGCTACTTGCATTATACACATTTACAGCCTATTCTTAAATTAGCTCTATAATTTCCTCCCAGAAATTAGTAACCACGATGACATCATGAAGAATCCAGTGAAACTTCACGAATACAATACTTTTATATATGTCGTAAATTTATTCTGGCATACAGGGTATAAGTAAAGAATATATATATATACATAATTATATTGCATATATAAATATTATATACATATATTCTTTCATAAGTCTTTTATCTTTTATTTTCTTTTCTTGTTTTTTAAAAATATTCATTGAAATTGATTTCCACTGAACAGCTAAAACATTCTGTATTTTTTTTTTTTTTTTGCGGTTTATAAAAATTTAATTACAAAAGCACATTCTACAAAAACGGTCTCTTTACGAAAGTCGTATCTGTATGTCACTTACAAATTTTGTGCAATTTACAGAATAAATGTAATAAAGCCAAATTTACGTATCACATTTAAAATATTCGTCAAAAACCACTATATTCGATATTATGTATATATTAATAATCTCATTGATAAGGTAAGTATGCATGCCATCAAAGCAAGGAATGGCATAATAAAATTGCCTCTTAAATTGTATCAATTGTACCATGCCATATTCTTTAATCAGTGATATCGCAAATGATCTCTAAATTGTTTATTCTACAAAAACATCGAGGAAAATATATTAAGCAAAGAATCAAGAATGAACGTGCCAGGAAGTCTCCTTACAGTTTGGAATAATATATTCTTCTAATAGAATTTCATAATAGCTGTGACGAATTTCTAGTCTATAATCTTGAGTAACTGAATTTATTTTAATTTCTTTATAGACACTCATTTAATAACTTCTTTTTTCTTTTGGTTTAAACTGTTCTATTAATGAACTTTTTTTTTTTTTGCTTAGCAAACTATGCCCCTCCAGATTTTTTTTCTCTTTTTTCTTTTTTACTTAAAATGTGATCGTTAATGTATGAGCGGAATACAAGAATAAATTCGAAAATAATATGGTAATAGCGTTGATAATAGTAATAGCGATACTAGGAGAAATAATAACAATAACATCTTTTCTCTTACAGGAAATTAATGTCTTAAAAGACTATGGGTTTTAAGGGAGTTATTTTAAAGTTCTAAACATTGCATTCAAAAAAAAAAAAAAAAAGATGAGAAACAAATCTAAGGATTTCACTTCTTCTTGCTTTTGTTATTTCCACCACCTCGCGGAGGTGTCACTGGTCTATTTGCGTTCAAGCCTCCATACGTTAATTTCTTCTTGTCGGCTGGTTTTAGAATTTGGAAACTACACATTAGAGTTTCATCTACGGACATCATAGCTCCAGCATTATCGAACTCGCCACAATAATTTGGTGCCGAAAACAAGGTAACTAACTGTCTCTTTGCGAAAAATTCATAACCATCTTCTACTACCTAAAATTTTTTTTTTCAATTTTTCAATTTTTCAATTTTTTAATTAGTAGATTACAAAATTATAAATATCATTTATAAATTACTAATATCTCATGAAATTGAATAATTAGATTTAAAAAATAAGATTTTAATAAATAATATATTAAAATTAAAAATATTATATATTACAAGTACCTGATGGGCACGACATATGAGGTCAAAATCATGTTTATGTAAAAATTTGGCAACGACTTCAGCTCCAAATGTAAACGATACGCCACGATCATTTTCTCCCCAACCCATTGTATCTTTGTCTGGATCAGACCATAATAAATCACATAATAAGCCTTGATCAGGTACATCTGTTGGTCGCATGATACGTCTGATCTGTTCCATATTTTGTAGATCTGGACTAAGGCCACCATGGCAACAAAATATTTTTTCATCAACTATTGCTGCGACGGGTAAACAATTGAAACAATCCGTAAATGTTTTCCATAATTTAATGTTATAACGTCGTTTACCTAAGTAAATATTAGATTATGTAAACATTAATATTTATATATTTCAAAATAATAAATTACATTTAAATGTATTTTCTTACATTCATCGTAAAATCCATATATCCTATTAATGGATGCACATTCATGATTTCCACGAAGTAAGAAAAAGTTTTCAGGATATTTGATTTTATAGGCAAGAAGGAGACAAATTGTCTCTAAAGACTGTTTTCCTCTATCAACATAATCTCCTAGAAATAGATAGTTACTTTCTGGTGGAAATCCACCATATTCAAATAGTCGTAATAAATCATAATATTGACCATGAATATCACCTTAAAAATAATTTTAAATATTTATATTATAATTAAACAAAAACATAATATTTAAATTATAAAACAAAATTAAAATTTACCACATATTTTAAGTGGTGCTTCAAGTTCTAACAGAATAGGTTGCGATAGAAAAATTTCACGTGACTTCAAGCAGAGTCCTTTTATTTCTCCTTCTGTCAATTGAACATTTTTTCCTGGCCTGGCTCCACGCACTAAAAGATTAAAGTTTCTTTGCTTTGATTTTATTATTAATTATTTTATTATTAATTTATTCTTTAATTCCATCAGTTGAAACATATAAACAAATATTAAAATTTAAAATAATACTTAATTTAAGCAATAATAATTAATATACTATTAAAAATATAATTTTTTAAAAAAGAAATAAATAATAGTTACTACATTAAATATCTAATGTATGTATTCGTTTACTTGTTTATAATAAGGAATTAAATTTTTTTTTTATAACGGTAATATTGAAAATTTTAAAACAAATTTTTCAGTAGATAATTTCATTTATTAATATATTTTGAAAATATATATAAACAATAAACAATACAAAAAAAGAGAGACAATATTAAAAACGTCGAGATACATGGCAGTAATCGTGTAAAATGCTGACAAAAATGTTCGAAAATTAATAACTTCTATTACACAGTGTTAATCTTATTTTATGTAAACAAGCAACTGTTACTTCATTTAGAATATTTCAAATCGGTTATATTTAAAGAAAATTGCGTAATCGATCAAAGAAAACAGATAAGTAGAAGAAGATAAAAAATAGTTTAAAAAAAATAAAAAACATAGTATCTTCGAAAAAATATTCATCCGAGTTGTAAAATATATGTATGGAAAAAGTATAACAAAGGGTGACGCGGGCGACAGTTTGTCTCATTACACCCCCCCTCAAGGAGGGCAAATAAGTAGCTTTACCTTCCAAGAGCCGAGCTATGATGTTGTCAATATTAAGTTTATCAGATTCAGCCATCGGGCCGTGGTTTTGTGCGCGTCCCGGGCTTTACACGGAGTACCTTCTTTTAGGGATGACCTTTGATTTTCGTGGATTTCACTACTGTGGCACACAGCACTCAATTGCATTCGCGGTTTCGGACAATGTACCCGCAATGGCCGCCCGGACAACCGCGCACTCCACTCCCTTTTACCCCCTCTACAAGTTCGAGCTCTTCTTATTCGATATAATTTCGATCGGTCGATTTATCGAACGTAATACGTACATATTCGTAAATATGTGCACATACTGAATTTGTGAATTTTATAAAAAAAGAAAAATTCATAATTCTGATATTTTCTGATATTAATTAATGAAATTATAATTTTCAATTATAATTGAAATAAAAAATTTATTTCAATTATTAAATAATTTATTTATATAACAATTAGAAATAATTAAATATATTAAAATAATTGTTTCATGTGTGGTTTCAAGTAAACACAAATATAAATGAAACTAAATATAGGGAAATTTTGTGGTAAAATTTATTGTTAAATTCCCCATATCATTTAAAGTTACCTTATTTTTTGAAATATTTATTTTAATAAATTCGTAAACTATACATTTATAAGTAATTTTATTTAAATAAAAAAATCTAAAAATATTTCGACATGTACTTTTTATACAATAGGAAACAGTGATTGTAAATGTCTTAAACATATACCTATGAATTATCATGGAGGTCTATTATACAATATCACGGTTTACTATTAAACAGGTTGAATTGGCGGTATTTATTAAGTGATTGTATAATTTCTTTTTCAAAACTGATAAAAAATGCCAGAAAACGTGGTAAATATAATATTTTGTTTTTTATAATCCCATATCATTGCTATTAGTGTATTAATAAATAAATTTACTATAATTATTTAATTAAAATTTTTCAAATGACGCTATAGGTTATATTGTCGCGTCCATTTAGAAACAAAATAGTATATCGTTCATGTATCTTCATTTCACTTGAAAAATATTTCATTTTTATCAATTAGAAATAATAGAATCTTCGATTATATAATTTTTTATATTTTTATATTTTTAAATCTATAAATTATTTTTTATTAATTTATAGATAAATGGAGATCATGTTGATGTAAAGAGTGCTAATTGTGAAGCTCAAGATAATGATGAAGATAACAATGAAGCAGATGTACATTTTGAGCCAATAATTTCTTTGCCATTAATAGAAGTTTCCAACAATGAGGAAGATGAAGTTGAAATGATAAAAATGTAAATTCTTATCCTTTTATGAATTATTAACATATGTATATATTATATGTTTTATTATATATTTATATTATTTATAGGAGAGCAAAATTATATCGTTATGATTCTTCTAATAATCCAGCAGAATGGAAAGAACGTGGTACTGGAGAAGTAAAATTATTAAGACATAAAACAAAAAATACAGTAAGAGTTGTAATGCGTAGAGATAAAACACTTAAAATTTGTGCTAATCATTTTGTAACTCCTTGGATGGAATTGAAACCTAATTGTGGTAGTGATAGAGCATGGGTATGGAGTGTACTTGCTGATTATGCAGATGAACAACTTAAGCCAGAGCTACTTGCTATAAGATTTGCAAATGCAGAAAGTAAATATATTATTAATGAATAAATATAAATAGAAAACATGATTTTAAATATTAATTATTAATTGGTATTTTTTATTATAGATGCAACTGTTTGGAAAGAAGCATTTGAAAAAGCAAAGAAGATAGTGGGATCTGAATGTGAGATATATGCTGGAAAAAATAATACAGAAGAAAAACATGTTGAGAGTGATAGTGAACCTTCTAGTGATGTAAGTTATAGTGAAAGTACTGATAATGAAGAACAAAATAAATTGGCTGAAGGAGATTTAAAAATTAAAGATAATGAAAAAGTGGAAGCTTCTGAGAAACAAGTAAAAGATGAAGAAAGTATGGACAAAGTGTCTAAAGGACTTGAGCAATTGCAAGTTGAGGATGAGAAAAAATAAAAATAAAATTTACATCTCTGAATTAGAGATGTTATTTATAAGTGCACATTCCAACATAAACATACATCTATGCATATGTTTAATATTTGATCAGTGAATTTAATGTAGGGAAATATTTTAACAACAACGTTAATAGATGAGTTAAACAAATTTTCAATATTTATACAATCGTTATATGTTGTCTGTGATTTCTTAATGAAGAATATTTTAGCATTTATACTATGATGAAGAAGTTAACACATTAAATCTGACAGGAATAAGAAATTAAAAAGTAGAACAACTGTTTAATTCTATATGTTTGAAAATTTACTTGGTTATAATTTTATTAAATTTTTTTAAATATCTTCTATAATATATATTTTTATATATCCATGCGCATTTCATGGAAATTAAAATAATATTAAAATTTGAATGTTTACAGGAGGATATCTGTTTTTAAAATTTGAAATAGGTTTTTTAAATATTTTATTCCTTTTAAATATTTTTCCAATTTTTTTACAGCTATTATAAATTGCAGCTTTGCATTACAAATTGTAGAGATATTGGAATGATTTGAAGTAAGAATTGACATCTTCAACTTTTTCTTGTTATTTTATAATATAAAAAATTAATTGTAAAATATTGGATTTGAAAATGATTAATTATTCAATTTCAATATGATACTATTTTTACAAAAGTATGCATAACAAAATTTAATAATACTATAATATGATAATTTCTTCATAATTCATCTCTGTATAAGAAAGAATGAAGGATATTACGTTTTTCTTCCATTGTGCGTTTCTTTTCATTTGATAATTTCCCTTTTAATATGCCTTCTATTCTTGTTTGTTCTGTTTGAACAAAAACATCTCCTTTTTCTAATATTTTTTCCATAGTTTTAACGTAAACTTTTGCCGCAGCGCGTTGTGTTTCGGGTAATGTTTCTTCAAAGACTTTAGCTTTGTTTAATATTTCCTACGAAAAATATAAAAAAAATAATTATAACTTATAAACTGTTATTTATGTGTGTGTACATATATATATTTACATATATATAGACACGTACATAAATATACATTATATATATATATAATATAATATTACCTTTCTTTCCGAATCTCCGCTAGTCCTAAATTCTTCAGCAAGTCGATCAAGTTGTTCCACACAACCGGGTAAACCAAGATATATTCCAGACTTTGTTTTAACAAATCGTTTTATATTATCCGCGGTAAAATCAGTTTCTTTTTCTGCAACGAACTGAATAGGATCTGTTTTTCCTTGAAGAAATAGAAGAATAGCGGGAAAAGCTTCGGACTTTATTTTATATCGAGTAGCAAGATCAGAATTGTCTTTATTGCCATAATCTTTCACTCTCACTTCACCTACTAACAAATCATGAGAATCTTTTGTTGCGGCGGCTATTTGCGCATATTGTTCATGTTTTTCTCCATATGGAAATGCTACATCAAATTTAACAATTGCAGCTTTGAATTTCGGTACCACCTATATTATGAACATTATATTATGAACAATACAACATTATTATGAACAATATTATTAGATATTTATACAATAACTTGCTATAATAAATATTTAAATCAATAATACATTTATAACAAGCGAATGTTTTTTATTAATCAAAATAATAATACTTATTATTCGTTTTGTATTAAAAAAAAAAACATAATATGTATAAATATAATATTTTCATACGTATTAATATATATAATTTCTATTATATAAATTTCTATATTTTACATATATATATTAGATATGTATATGACGTAACTAAGCGTCTTATAACCATAGCAACAAATTATCTAATCAACAAGATAAAAAGAACAAAGAAACTTAAAAAAATAACTGATTTTTGTTTATTTTCAAATAATTACTTTTTAAGCCTATTAATTCAAGAATTAAAATTTTTTTTTTTTTTATCATTTTTGATGTATTCATAAAATACCTTGTCAAAGGAATAAGAATCCAGAGAAACGCATCCTTTGCAGTCTTCAGCAGCCGCAATTCCAATAACAAGAAATATTACAATTGATGAGAGCATGTTATAACTGGCAGGAAACTATCAATAACTTTTTAGATGCTTCTTATCATTCAAGAAACGATAACTTAGTAAAAACAATTCTTTTATAGCGATGTGCGCTACGTATTAACCAACTTCTTGATTATCGCACGTTTTCATAAAGTTGGCAACCGGTCATATATAAATGTAACTAAAAGAAGAGAAATGTAAAAAGAGCCGAATAGTTATATTGAACTTCTTCTTCTAGTTACTGCTTGAAAATAACCTCAAATGTTACAGTACAATGTGCTTGATTAAATACAGGTGAAGCAAATGCGGCGCTTAGCGTTGACGAATCAGAAAAGGACACGAAATCGTACGTTACAGGACGGTATATACTTACTTTCCTAAGTATTATTTGCTTATTTAGATGTTTAATTACAAATATCATCTTGTAATAATCTATATTTAGAAAATACTTTAAAGCTTCTTTTTTATATTTTAGAAAAAATATATAATATTTGCTTCCTCTTATAGATATTTATTAATTAATAAAATTTAAAAATATTTAATTTTTTTTATTTTTAATATAAATCATTTTATAACATTTTTTAAAACATATTTATTTTAACATTGAAAAGAATGCTTTATATTATCAGAGAAAATAACATAAGTTGAATCAGTTTGTTTATGATAGAATTCTACAATTGTTACAATATGAATATATCAAAGATAATTAAATACTTTTAATAAAATTTTAAGTATTATAATTATTTTATATCATTGATTGATTTCTGAAATTCAAAATAATGAAATGAATATCTTAATTTTAAATCATTAAAATTATGAAAAAGCAAATAATGAATGAACGAAAAATGTAAAAACATATGAAAAAAAAATAAATAAAAAATTAATTAGTATAATTATACATTTTTAAAGGAATGCATAATTATTAAAAATTTATTGAGAAAAATTAGTAATACAATATAAAAAATATTTTTAATTATATTCAATTTTAATGTTCAAAATCAATATAAAAAGAGGAAAAAGATAAAAACGAAAATATTTCAGTACAAATTTGTTATCAAAAAATCAAAAAATATTTCTATTTTTGTAAAATATAATTGTAATGTATACCATAATGTATAAAAAGCTCAAACAATATACATATATTTGACCTCTTTCTATTCAATTCAAACAAAATCATAGTACGCAATCGATTTGAGATCAAATTACTCAATGAGTAAGATATGTTTGTGTATTTATGTTGCAAATGAGAAGAATATGTACAAAATTGAAGTGCAATGATTTAAAAACATGGATAATGAATATTTAAAAAATTTTTTTTAAATTGGCATTTAATCGATTATAAAATCATAGTTGAGCGAAGGATAAACTGTATGGGGTGCAAAGATAGAGCGGGTAAGAGAGGGTGTTAGTTACTAGAAAACAGGTATCCGCCGTAGGCGTCGTACGTTCATTGATAAGCGTATAACGCCCCGTACCTTAGACTCATGACGTCACTTAATCGCAAGGACGCCTGCGCTTCTGTCAGGGCCGTGCCTATCAGGAGGTTCTTGCTCTCATATTTTTTTCTATTGGATACCAACTACGTAAGTCAGTTCTTAATGTCATTATTGATATTTAAATATGTATATCGATAACTTCATATTTCGCACATTGCAATTTATTGTACAATACTATAAGTTATAAATATATAATAATATGAAATAATGTTTTATAAAATATATATCGTGTGAATTTAATAAGACTAATATGATTACTTTGTATGTTATATAAATACAATGGCTTTCGAGAAGAATTTTTTTCTAATGTTAAGAGTTTTATATTGAATTCCAAAAATAAAAAAGAAAAGAAAAAAATGAAAAAAATTTTAATAATTAATAAATTTAAAATTTTACAAAACTTGATTTTTTTTTTATCTTTTTTTTCCATTTATTCTGAATGATATTTATGCCCACGCTAAATGATGTTTATGCCATTCAAAAATAAAATAAAATGAAAGACAAATATACGAAATGACGAATAAAAAGAGAAAATAGATTTAACACAGAGACAGAAGAATATAGTGAATATAAGCATATTACATATATAGGTAAGTGGAAAGAGAGGATGGATAAATAGAGGAGAGGAAGGAGTAACAAGGAGAGTGTATAAGAAGAGAAAAAGAAAGAGTAAGAAAGATAGTTGAAAGAATAAAGAGAGAGAGAAAGATCGGTGAATTGTCTTACGTGTATTGATTGGTCTTTTATAAAAGCTACATCCCCATGTAGCTATGAGATAAACCCTTCTATAAAGTCACTAGACTTTCAAGGTGTATGTATTAATTTTCGAGCTAGCCGTAATACGCCATATTTAATTTTCCCTGATTAAAACTATATTTTTCGAAATTGTATTCAGAAAATCATCAATATTATTAATTAAGTTAATATCATCACAGAAGTATCTTTATTTTTTTTTTTTTTTTTTTAAAAAGACGAAAAGGAAACTGTAGGTTAAGGTGCTATATCAAAGTAAAAATGACGTAGGCGATCGTTCGTGATCCCTAGCTTTGAAGGGGTTCTATATCGGTATCGATCGTAAAGTGACCCATATCTGGTGGTGACGGGAGTTCCTACCCCTGGCTGCTTTTCCAGTGACAGCACCCCTACCTCCTCTCTCTCTCTTTCTCTCTTTTTCCCGGTCCTCTATCCCCTCTAAGTAACTATACTCCCGCCAGACCCGTGTCTACCCCCACTCGTTGCCCCTTTCTCCGGTGGGCGAGCGAATATACCTCCTCCCCCGTTTTCCAGCAGCCCTGCCGCCTGCCTTCCACGGCCGAGCAGATCTTGGAGCTTGTACGGGATGATAGCCGAGTGAAAAAGCTCGCGAGTCCCGTGAAGTTCGCTCATCAGCAGCAGCAGCCCTGGCCTGCCACAATCCCTTCGACTCGGTTATCGTAAGTGTCGTGCATCTCGTGAAAGAAACGAAAGCAAGCATCATGAACAGCCAGTACGAGAGTTTATATAAGATTGAATGGAAGAGAGAAAAAGAAAGAAAATAGAAGTTTGTTAGTTTTGATTGAAAAGTAAGAAAATGAGAGAGAGTGAGAAAGAGAAAGAAAGGGAGATAGAAATAGAGAAAGAGCGAGAGAAGAGAGAGAGAGAGAGAGAGAGAGAGTGGAAGAGAATGGAAGAGTACTTGCGCGTATGTGTTTTTGCTTAAAGAAAAATCAGAGAAATTCGTTACGATAATATATAAGTGCTTAAGTGCAAATATATATATATATATATAAGAGTGAAGAAAAAAAAAGAGATTTTCATGAGATTTCATGAGATTCATGTGATTAAAAAAAAAAAAAAAAAAGATTTCACATTCGAATTTTATACGAATTGCCGAAAAAAAAAGAATAGAATATTCACACGGTATCGTTGCAACTTACAGAAAAATAAATACATACGTGTTTCGTATTATAATATAAAATAAGTAAGGAAATGAAGGAATGTTAAAAACGTGGCCTAGTGAGGAAAATAACGTAAGAAACGAAGTGTCAGTGAGGAAACAGAGACAACGGTGGTGACCGGTTGTCATTGGTATAATGACATATCGTAAAAAAACATATTCTGTTAGTTGTGTCGACGTATATAGCTCGTGTTACTCGTGGTGATGGCAATAGGCAGTTCATAGTGCTAGTGGATATATTACGTATTGCCGTGCAGTGATGTCCCGTGCGCACCGGGTGTATATGTATACTACGTACCATTGGTAGTGAGATCAATAAGCAGTGCCGTGCCACTCGACCCGTACTCATAGACAGAAACTCATTCTGAATCTCTCCTTCCTTCTGTTTAACTACCGCCCCCAACTCTTCCTTTTCCAGCGACCAAATGTCGAGAGGTCACTTTCATTTGTTTCCCTTTTGAAATTTTTATCATGTCTCAAGCAGCTTAAAACAAGTGTCTTTCCTTTGAAAGGCCAAGTCATTGGTCCGCTCTTTCGATATATTCTTATACGTGATTATCTATTCTTCTCTATCCTGTTTCTATTTTTCTCTAATCGATTTTCAAATTAACTCACTAACTCTTATTTTCATCGTGTTGCATTTTTAAACATTATTCTTCTTTTATTTCAATGAATTAAGTTTTATTGCCTTTTTGCTGCTAACTTCTGCGCTTTAGCTTTATCGTTTCTATTGGACTTGCGTATCATGAGCAAGTTGAAACATATTTCTTGCCAGATAAAGTATATATTCGTTTCTAAAATGATGATTTCCTCATACCTGAAAATTAATAAATATTTTTCAAATTAATATTTGTGCTTATCGTATATATCATTTCATTAAATTGGTATAATAAATTCTTCGAATTTCTAAAGATAATTAATTACATTAAATAATATTATGTACACGAATTAAAAGATATAAAATAAAAGGAAGAAGAATTTATTGAATAATACTTATGTATATTATAACTAGATATCGGTTGCTACATCTTACAGTTTTAATATTTGCGTTCGACTTTTTCTGGATTAAGATGTCCCTTCTGACTGTGATTGAATTATTCGAACGTAGAACCGGTAAAATTGAGCTGTTGTTATCATAATGAAATTAAATAAATTTCTTAACTTCCGCTATCAAAAACAAGATGAATTGTTTTGAAAGATGATACATATTTGCAGATTATTTATAGATTACTCGAAGAATAGAAACACTTTTTTTTTTTGTAACATGTATTTATTATCTCGCAATCTCGAATAAAGCATATGGATATTATTATTAGAATTGATTCAAAAAATAAATTTAATAAGATTTGATTAAAATTGAATATATTGCAAGATGATATAAAAACAGATTAAAATAATTGAAAATATTATATATTTCGTTAAATTCTATCGATAAATGATTTTAAATCTCCTTTTACTTTTGAATTTTCTCTACGAATATTTTATTTTCATATTTCACTTTTATTACATTAATTTACATTTAAAATTTATTCATCGTATTATTCGCATTTCTTTTCTAATTATAATTTAACTTTGTTACTTTATCAATAAAATCTAACCTTTAATTTAACTTTAACATATTTTTCAAAATTGATGCAAGAAAAAATCTATTTAATCTAATTATTTAAACAGATGAACGAGACAAGAATGAGTGTTTATTTTTTTTTATCTTTAAAAATTAAGAATAACTCATATTCTATAATATTTACCTCAAAAAAGATTTTTTTCTTCGAGAATTTTTTACATTCATTCATAATGCGACATACGTCAAACTTAAATTTAACACATAACTTGTTGTAATGCTCTTGAACTTATTACGTTCGAACGTAATAACAAAGGCCGATATTCGATCGTATCAGATATATTTTGATCAAAACATTCCGAAGAACCTGTTGCCAATAATCTCGTTGATTGAATTTCTCCCATTTAGAGGCAGGGTTATCTGTAATTCGTTATTGAGTTCGCCCGGTTACGGTTTATGTGCGTCGAACGTTTTTAAACCAATAGAACGTGCAATCACGATAATTATAATGGAGAACGCGCACGTGTGTCATTGTCGGCGAAATCGTTGCAACGTTGCCATGATTTTTATAGAGCGCGGCGAATGTTGGCATGTTGATTCTTGTTTCCGTTTAATCCTCTATATATCAACCAATAAATATATATTATCGATTAATCAATTATTCAATATAGAAAAGAGAAATATTCTATAGGATTGTAGAAATATACTGTAGTAGCCGTTGTTTTTACGGTATACAGAGGGTTGAATGCGAAAAGTATCTTTTTTCACGGTTGTACGTGCAAGAAGAGTAACCGGCTGTTTTCAGTCGATTCACATACCTAAGGGGGCTGAGGGTATCGTGGGGGCGCAATGAAAAAAGAATTCCTTTTCGCATCCAGAGAATTGAATACGCCTAATCGTGGGATCGTCGTGTGCAGCCTGGCAGGCCCCGCAAAAGCCGCCAATTAATTAAGATAGCTCCTAGATACACGGTAGATCGATAGGGACTGGCCGTGATAAAGACGGGCGAGGGTTTCAGACTTCAGGGATGTTGCAGTGCTGTGGTGTTGGAGGTGGCGCTTCCACGGCACCTCAGGCTCCGCAGCTGCAGGATACCGGATCTGCTGTCGGGATTACCACCTCCACGAAAACCACCATCATGCAGGACGCAGTTCTTGAATCTATTCTCGAGGTGAGTCTCGCCAATTTTTCAAATTTTCAAATTATTTATACTTCATCTCCTCTCTACCCCTTCTCTTGAAGTCACTATCTTAGGGACTTGATGTGTTAATTTTTTTTTTTTTTTTTTTTCAGTTANGTTAATTTTTTTTTTTTTTTTTTTCAGTTAAAGTTTCTTTTGTTTATATAACGATCGAACAGAAACAGTAGACAATTTTGGATTGAAAATTTAAGGAAAATTTAAAACTTTTTTTTTCTTTCACTCGACAAAACAAAAATTTTCATTTTTGTGCAACAACAAGATAAATAATTACGTATGGAAATATGTAATGGGCACGTAATGATCATATGTGAAAATGTGTGACGAGATTAAGATCATTTTCGAGGATCGACGAGAAGCGGTTTATCAACGAGGTGTTCGTCAGCCATTAAATATTGATGTTCTAAGCGAATTTTGAACGGAGCGGAGCGGAAAAATTCGTTTTAATTAAAAAAAAAAGATAACCTGTAAGAGAAATTTTAGCAATATTGCTCTCCTCTCGTTTTGCGGTTCGACCAATTTTTTAACTATTAGACGATTTTCGGGGAACAAACAAGTTTGTGTCGAGTAAGTTCGGTTGGTAACCTTCCTTCGAGGCATTCAGAATACAAAGGCTTCTTTCATTATTAATATCGAGCGGGTGATTCTCGTCGTGGATCATACTCCCGTCCAGGCGTCCCTTCCGGTTATTAAAGGTGGTTTCCTATCCTCACCCACAAATATTAAACGTAACTTGACGGTCATATTTTTTACATTTTTTTTGATCCATATCGCGAGAAAAATGACGCAAACTAATATCGATAGTTGATACTATAGTGTTCCTTTTTTCCTTCATACACGATTAATAATCATTTATATATTCTTTTCATTATTTCGCGATTGATGATTTATTGGAGAGTAATAATTATTTTCTTTCTAAAAGAAGATTAAATTTTTAAAAAATAAAGAAAAAGAAAGGAAAAAGATATATTTTTTTTAAGATGATCCGATAAATCTGATCTTTTCAGCAAATGCGTGAAACAGAAGCTCGAAAAGCGGATTTGGAGCGTCAACATGCAGAAGCACAGAATCAATTACGCGAAAAGATAGCAGGACGATATCAAGGACCGGAATCGGTTGAAGCGCTACAGTCGAAAATAAGGGAGCTCGAAAAGAAGACAGAGTTACAGATGGTCAGACACGAAGAATTATCATTGGAATTAACAAGTCTTAGACGCGCGCGAAGCAGAGGGCCTATGGTTACTCATTCGGTTCCAACTACTTGGCCTCCGGCTGGTTCTGAAATCGATAGAATAATAGCAAAGATAGAACAGGATAACAAGTACGTTCCGTGATCTGTTCGACTTTTGAATTAATTTCTTTTTTTAAATTATTTTGATTATCTATTATCCACAAATAGTGCAAACAGAATGATACACGATTTGGATCATACAAGAGGAACCATTACCACGCAACAACCCTCGGTCACACAGGGTATTTTGCGATCCAGCTCTGAAAATCTTCCTAATCTCGGTCAACATCAACATCCACCTCATCCACATGCTCTGAGCCTAGGAATGCCAACGCAGATGAGTCATGTATGTAAATAATTTTTCTTTATTATCTCTCTCTCTCTCTCTTTTCATCTCTTCTTTCTTTAAATGAAAGTGATTTGGAATCTTTGAAACAGTACGCAGGTTCACCTATGCCCTTAACGCCAATGATGCCTGGTTGTCCACCATTGACTCCAAATGGGCCGCCTTATTACAGCGAACCAATACCTCCAGCGCCATCGCTCTCGACCAGCCAATCGCAACCAGTTTTCCAACAAAAGCTTCAACAGTATCAGCAACCTCAATTGAGCCACACCGAGTTACAGAGCACGCATTCCCAAAGTGTTCTGCAAACACAACAGAAGCAACAACAAACGCACACCCATTACACGAGCAATCAGTATCAGGAGAGTTATCCGCATACGCAAACCTATCAGCAGCCGCTCCAACAGCAACAACAGCCGCAACATCCGGCCTCTACTACGTACCTGACATCATCTAGCCAAAGCATAATACCTCATTATTCGCAGCCTACACAAACCGGCCAAAGTTTTCAATTGAATGGAAGTCAACAGGTATGGATGAGGTTATTTATTATTAGATTATTCGTCAAATCAAATCTTTCTTATCAGTTTGTATATATTTTATATTATTCGTGAAATTAATATCGATCTGTGTATGTGTGTGTATGTGTATATATACAGGCAACGACGTATCCAAGTTTATCCATTACATCGCATCCGAATGGAACTTATAGTACGGGAGCGGGTGGCAGCTTCAGTACCCAACTATCGCATCACAACTTTTCCGTTCCACAGACGAGTATCCCGCAAACCACGTTGTCCTCGTTACCACCTTATTCGACGACCAGCTTTCATTCCACTTTGGGCGCGCTTACCAATGTACCGCAATCCGCTCTTCCCTTCTCGAGTGTACAGAGCAGTTTCGTTACCAGCGGATCGACCTACTCTACCGTCGGGACCAATGCTTTTGGCACATCAGGCGTGTCTTCAGGTATCAAATTCTTTTTTTTTTTTTTGTTCCCTTGGAAACAATTTTCTTCACACATATATTTCTTCGTTATTTTATTTATTTTTTTTTTTCTAAAAATCTATATCTAAAATCTTTCTTTTTTTTATTTTAGGAACCACATCGACAGGCTTGTTACAAGCGATAAGCGATCCCCTTCAAGCGATGCAACAACTTTCAGCGCAATCTCAAGCTAATCAACTTCAGCAGCAAGCCATTATTCAACAGATCCAACAAAGTTTACGTGCCAGTTCGCCGACAGCGCCCTCTACGACGGGCCATCACTTCCTTGGCTCAAGGCAGATGCCAAAGATACCTAGTAGTATACTTTCCAATCCCTTAGATCGACTGACCAATGACAATATGGTGGCCGAGGGCCAAGTGGATATGCTGGATATACCCGGCAAAGGACGGTGCTACGTCTATATTGCTCGTTTCACTTACGAGCCGTTTCAGCATTCCCCAAACGAGAATCCTGAAGCAGAATTGCCTGTTCAAGGTGGTGATTATTTACTTGTGTGGGGACAACCGGACGAAGATGGTTTCCTAGATGCGGAAACTCTTGACGGTAGACGCGGTCTTGTTCCAGCTAATTTTGTTCAAAAATTGATCGGTGACGATTTATTAGAATTCCATCAAGCTGTTCTTGGCCTCAGGGACGTCGATGATTCAGCTTCGACTAACATTCCCCAAGTGAGCAATGTAAGATTATTAGGATAAATTTTATTACGCCTCTTGTACAGAGACATGGCTAATTATTTTTTTTTTTTTTNTTTTTTTTTTTTTCTTTCAGTGTTATCTACAGGATATTGATTTAGAGTTAGCGGCTCTAGAGGAAGGTAATCGAAATCGACAAGCCGAATTATCTGCATACGCGGAGCTCGATAATATTGCGGAGGAGGACGAACAAGAGCCACCAGGTTAGTACGTTTTCGTTTTATATGTTTGATTTTTTTTCATTTTCAAGCATGTAGATCGTGATAAAGTAGTAGATGTAGTATGTTTATAATTGTAAACAGCGTGAAAATTACGATATGTGATTTATTCTTTTTAATGAATATATATATAGTCGCATCGTATTTAGAATGGTAGAATATTTATTTAATGTTTGCTTCACGAATTCGAAATGTTAAATATAATTTAAAGTTAATTTTAAGTTAATTTAATTGTTTAAACGAATTTGTAAAAAAAATCCATGCTTGATAAGTATTTATACAACGAAACTTTTATTACCCTCTAATAATTAGCGATTTGTAATTGTGAAAATTAATTATGTTCATATCAATATTTTCTATTTTATGATGACATTGTAGTATTAAGTTTTTTTGTTTCAACATATCTTCGTGCAGCTCTTCCAAGTACATAGAATGCTTCTTCTCAATAACCCCTTCTTACGTGATTCAACAAGGTATATGTATTGTATATTATATACACATATGTATGCAATATTTTCTATGTTTCTATGCTCCTCGAGATAAGACAAATTTAATTAATTGTCTTGTAGAATACATAATTTTTATTACGTTATTAATTATAATTTTTATTATTAATTAATCTTTGCTGTTCAATAATGCCGTTTGAAAGTAGAACATATGCATGTTATTGCTGTTTTTGTAGAGATTAAAAAAAATGGTCTCTTCTCTCTGTTTGAGAGTTAAGGTAAATATTCTAATTTCTTGATGAAAGACGTAAACGGAATCTTGCACTGTGTTGAGTATTGGATGGACTTAGGCTGGATGGACTTAGAGAATTAGATAGTGAAAGATTTTTAGCTACAGTTAGGCTTGTCTTGTCTTTTTTTCCTGAAGAAGTCTACCTGTTTTCGGACCTAGTTCCGGCGCCACAGCACCTCACTCTCGAGCGGCAGTTGAACAAGAGCGTTTTAATCGGTTGGACGGCGCCAGAAAATACTCATCAATTGGAGTCGTATCACGTCTACGTGGATGGAGTGTTGAAGGTTACTGTCAAAGCAACGGAGAGAACCAGAGCGTTGGTCGAAGGAGTTGATTCTACTAGGGTTCGTAAAAAAAAAATAAATTGTTATTTTTTAAAGTGATATATTTGTTTGTGATATTAGCTATATAGATAGACAGAGAAATATAATTTTTTATAATAGAACGGAAAATGTTTTATGTCAATTTGTAGTCGTATCAGTTTCACGAAAGAAGAAAGTGCGAGATTTATATAACGATGTACATAATTGAACGTAAAAGTTTGTCAGATTATTTGATTTCATTTAATTAATAATATAGCCACACAGAATAAGCGTACGTTCAGTGACACACTCAAGAAGAACATCTCGTGATGCCGCTTGTACTATGGTAATTGGTAAAGATGTCGCTTTGGGTCCAACTGCTGTCAAAGCATCGAATGTAACCGCCACTAGTGCAGTCATATCTTGGATGCCGAGCAATAGCAATCATCAACACGTGGTTTGTGTGAATAACGTGGAGGTTAGGACGGTGAAGCCTGGTGTTTATAGACACACGATTACCGGTTTAGCACCCTCGACAATCTATAGGGTAACCGTGAAAGCAAAGAATCTGAGGGCGACGCATTTCGAGGACCAAAATACTCAAGCGGCAAACAATTTAGCCTGTCATGTCCATTTCAAAACATTACCCAAAGGATTACCTGATCCTCCGGTCGATATCCAGGTTAACAATTGTTTTGATATTTTTTTCTATATTACAATCGATATCACATTCGATAAATAATTATACATTATATTTGCGATAGGTGGAGGCTGGACCGCAGGACGGCACTTTGCTAGTGACCTGGCAGCCTGTTGCCCTAAACGGTTCGGCCGTCACCGGTTACGCGGTATATGCCGATGGAAAGAAAGTCACCGACGTAGACAGCCCCACCGGTGACCATGCTTTGGTGGATATACACAAACTTATGGGTTTGAATCCGAAACACATCACGGTCAGGACAAAAAGCAGGGAAAGTCAATCGGGCGATAGTTGTGCTACCGCTATTCCTTGTAGCGTTCTTCGTGGTGGAACCGCGACTCATTTGCAACATGCATCTACGCACATGCAAGATCAAGGACAACCGCAACCCACCGCTACTGGACAACCAGATGATCCGAATAGGCATCGTTTAGGAGGTGTAGGTCAAAGATATCCATCGACTCCTGTACCTTCTCATATAAGAAGACATGGAGGCACTAGGGTTGACGCTCATGGCCAAGTTATTATTGAGACTGATGAAAACTTATCTGATAAAGAAATTTATCCTGGACAAAGCATGTCCCAGATGGGTAAGGATTCTTATTATAAAATTTGATTTCTTATATTTAGATTATTGAAGTTAGATTATTCAAGTTCTATTGAAAGTTTTAAAATTTTGCATTATTATTTAGGAGTTCCAGAAATCACTAAAGATTCGGCAAGCGAAGCGAATTACAGTGAGGAAGATGATCCGTCACGTAGAGGTAGAGGTATGCCGCTTCATCATAACCAACATCGATATGGACCCCAAATAGGGCAACAAGGGCTTCCTGGGACGCATCGACCAGGACGAATGGGTGGTCCTGCTGGTAGACCTCAAGATTCTTATTATGATCAACCAGGTTCGTATTTCAAATATTTGTCTATCGTAATTTATTCATATTCCACTTATTTTGCGGGATAGGAAGTCAAAGAGGTAGGGCTTCTAGCTACCGTGGAGGACGAGGAATGCAAGCTCAAGGTGGTGCGGGCCATTCGTCAAGTAGCGCTCAACAAATGAACAAAAGAACACGTTGGTTTATTGCCCTATTTGATTATGATCCAAAAAGAATGTCACCTAATCCGGACGCTTGTGAAGAAGAATTGCCCTTCTCTGAGGGTGATACTATTAAGGTCTTTATTAAAAGTTATTTCAATTTTTCGTTATGAAATATTAACATATAAATATAATATGTAAATTATTTTGATAGGTGTATGGCGAAAAAGACGCGGATGGATTTTATTGGGGAGAATGTCACGGTAGACGAGGGTATGTTCCTTATAATATGGTTGAAGAAATTAAAGATCAAAATCAGCCTGGACAAGGACAGCTAGGAAGGAGAGGAAGATGGGGAGACATTTATGCTAGTATGCCTGTGAAGAAAATGATAGCACTCTATGACTATGATCCTCATGAATTATCTCCTAATGTCGATTCCGTAAGTTTTGTTTTTAACAAATAGATATTTTTTATAGTTTTATTAATAATAATTTGAAAATTTAATTTATTTACACATTTTAATATATTTCAATTCTGTAGCAAGTGGAATTGGCATTCCAAACTGGAAATGAAATCTATGTCTATGGTGACCTAGACGATGATGGATTCTATATGGGTGAATTAAATGGAGTGCGTGGTTTAGTTCCAAGCAACTTCCTTACTGAAGCTCCTGATCAACCGCCACAAGGACAACTTCCTCCAGGAAATAGGAGACCACCAGGACAAAGTCAAGGGCCAGGAGTCAGAGGACCACCTCCTCCGCCTCGAGAACCACCTTCTACTGGTCATCGACGAGGCAAAGGTAAAAGTTTCTAATTGATTATTTTTTTTATCGCTATATTATTCACTACGATGTCGCGAATTATGATATAAATAGCTCCTCAAGCCAAGTATACGAAGTAAAAATAAAATTTTTATATATTTTTTAATATTTTTCAACTTTCTGAAGAGAGAAAAGAAGCTAAATTTGAAATGACAGAATAAGCGAGCAGCAGAAACTAAAACGCAGTGATAAGCAGGATCGAAACTGAGAAAGATTTCTATGAAGATAAAAAGCACTGGCTCGAGGAGTTGCAATAAATTCACACTGGTGCCATATATTCAACGAATGTGAATTAATCTGCTTGAATATCTGAACGATGACGAGTACTATAATATTGCTTTTAAAATGGAAGAAAAGAAGAAGGAAAGAAAATCTGGAAAATAATTGGACGTCAGTGTGAATAGAAAAAAAAAAGAAAGAAAAAAAAACATACAAACAGCAAGCAACACAAGACACGAAATTAGATGTGCCAGACGACAGACAGAAGGGTCACACAAGTTTATGATTGATCGATCTTGCAAAGCCGAATCGTCATTGATCAGAATTTATTACTATTTTTAGGGATATATCTTGCAAATTTATTGAGAAATTGCAATACAGGGTAAAGCAACGTATCAACTATTTCTATAAGGCATTCTAGTAAGTCATCAGGTGCATTTATTCTTCAGAGAATTATTTTAAGATAGTATTTCAATAATACACACAAGATTATAGGAACTCGTACTAATTTATCGCAATATAAAGTCCGATAACGAGATTAATGTGTTCGCGCAATGTGTGAAAACTACATTTTGTATCTGCAAATCTTTTTAGGAACACGTGTATTGCCATATGCAAAATAATTTTCTATATCTCTATCTATCTATTTATCTATCTATCTATCTATCTATCTATCTATCTATCTATCTATCTATCTATCTATCTATCAATCTATCAATCTATCTATCTATCTATCAGTCTATCTATCTATCTATCAATCTATCTATCTATCTATCTATCTATCTATCTATCTATCTATCTATCTATCTATCTATCTCTATCTATCTATTTATCTATCATTCTATTTATCTATTTATCTATCTCTCTATCTATCTATCTATATATCTATCTATCTATCTATCTATTTATCTACCTATCTATCTATCTAAATATCTATCTACTTATACATATATGTATACATATATGTGTATATATATATATATATATATATATATATACATATAAACGCACATATTTATATATAGTATATATATGTATATATACGATAAAACACTAAGCTGCTTTCAGTGTTTTCTATTAAATACAAATGCATACATATACATATATACATATTCATTCATACATATATATGTATGTATGAAATATTTACATATGTATTATATTCGTATCTTTTGTTCCGAGCACTTTACAGCTCCGTTACTTTTTTACATGCCTATCTTTTTCCTACGATATATATATATATATATATATATATATATATATATACGTATTATATTTACGCTATATACATATATATATACATATATAATATATATGCATGTGTATATGAAATATATATGTATATATATATATATACATGTATATAACTATTGCGTGTATTTTATATATAATGACATAATATGTTTCTGTGTGCCTGAACTGGTCGATGGTCGTCGTATCACATGATTGTCGTTCGTGTCGTGTTGTCATGCTGGCCATTTAGACATTTAAACAATCTTTTTTTCGATAACTCGTTTTGGATTATTAATACGATATATTTTATCAGATTTCGTGTCTTAAAGTATAAAGTCGCGAGAAAAATTTAATATACGCAAATTCAGATTTTGCCAAGTAATTCAAAATTTTTCGTTTTTTCTATATTGAAAGAAAAATGTTATTTAAAAAAGAATGAAAATATACAAAAAAAAAAAAAAATGCGAAAACATATTTTATATGATATTTCATATAAATCATTTCATAATATGATATTTCATACATAATAGAGAAAAGAGAATGTGAAAGGAAGAAAAAAGTAGTTCCAAAATTTAAAAAATTTTAAAATAAATTTTTAAATAAAAAAATATTACTTGGCATGATCGACAGCGTGTCTAAATGTCCATTTAGAAGATATAAATGTGCCATGAATGACAACACGGTCTTGTTCTCTTCTCTGTTGCTAGATGCCTGCATTGTGCCTGTGTCTGTCCCTGTCTGTCACTTAGACTCTAGACAACAACAACAACAACAACAACAACCATCACTAATGAACAACCAACAACATCAACTCCAACATCAACAAAACAATCCACCGCATCTAGCGTACCAACAAGCGAATCACCACAGCTACACGACTGTAACCACGTCCAATCAACATGGGCCCACACCTATGGGTGCCCATCAACAAGGTCCCGTACCACCCCACCTTCAACAACAGGTGAGTTCACTGCTCTATCCAGAAGTTTTCACTTTCGCTTTTCGCCATGCTTTTTATCTTCTTGTCGCAAATCTTTCAAAATGTCCGAACTTCTTTTGCTCCTTTGTTTCAATTCACTGTTACGCTTTTGTTTCCACTTATTCTTTTTAGTTTTTATATTATTTTTCTTTTATAAATGAAAAGAAAAAACCCAAAGAGTCCAATGGCTTTAACAATTTAAGGATTAAAAAAATGTTCGATGATTCAGGTATGTTCTTAATGACAATTACTTAACAATTCTAGAGGATTGATTAATGATACTGACGATATTCAATATTTTTTAACACAAATGTTTAATATTTATGATAAGTGCATATATTGTTAGAAGATTACTTAAAATTTATATACATATTTACATATACAATTGATGAGTCTTTTTTCAATTAATAGATATGTATGATGCTTTTCAAGAAATATTGACACGCTTCTAACAGTAATTTTAGTAAATAAAAATTTTACAATTGCATAAGAAAAAAAAATTGTAAAATTTTCTTTAAAAAAATCACTATTCAAAGAAATGATTTTCATTTCTTTGATTCGCATTTGGTAAATTTTACTAAAAAAATACGATATTTAAATCTTTTAATATTTTTGACTTAATATTAATAAAAATAAATGAATTTTGCATTATAATATTTAAATAATAATGTTTGCGTTAAAAAAATCATAGTATATCGAAGCTTATCATTAAATGCTTTTAATCAATAGACAGTTAAGCATGTATATTAGCGAATACGTAAATTGCACGAATTAAACGTAAATTGCAGTGAATTATGCTTCTTCAGTAATTAAAGATTTCTCGTCTTTCCATTTAACTCTCTTTTTTTCTCTGCTTTAATCATTATTCATTTTCGCTTCCGTTCCGCACAATTCTTTTTAATACATATTCATTTCAATCTCACATTCAGTAAAATTTCAACATTTTACAGGTCAACATCATACAATCAAAAGTAACAATCAATTATTACATTATTAAGTGAATCGCTACCAAAATCTTATTTAATCATATATATAGAATTCTTATATTTTTGTCTCTTCATTTAGGTAACAATGTATCAACATATCAGTACAAATGCATTATTTATCATAATAATCATAATAGCAATGTAGTAGGAAGAAGCGAGATATCGTTATTAAACAATAAGTGTATGAAAACAATAAATTTTAATGTTCAGTTAAAATAGTACGTTAACGAACAATGTTATCTTTAAAAAAAATCTGTATCTTTAGAATAAAAATTTGTTTAAACCTTTCAGGATATCGGGTACTACTTGAAACAATACTACATTTTAACACATTTGTTGGTCCAGAATGTTTGAGAACGTATACGTTCTCAGATTTAAATTTTTAAAGTTTATTCCATTAATTTGTGTCACTTTAATTTTTAGGGGAAGGGGAGGGGAGGCGTGATCAATCGTGGTAGTAATTTACCAGGAGGTATACAGGGCCTTGGACAACAACAAGATTATCCGCAACAAAATCAACCGTATCAACAACAACAGCAAAATCAACAAAATCAAAGTTATCAACAACCGAATCAAGGATATCAACAACAAAGTGCAGGATTCGGTCCCCAAGGCCAACAATTCCAACAGCAACAGCCTCAACAGCAGCAACAACAACAACAACCGAATCAACCGTATTCCCAACAGAATCAAGCTTCTTCGATGCAAAGTCAGAGTACGAGTAAACCGATGAGAGGAATACCGACAGTGTTGCCAACGCCTCAAGCAAAGGTGCAACCGAATACCACGCAAGGCCAACAACAACAGCAGCAACAGCAGCAAAGTACAGGGCCGAATCTGATGCAAAAGTTCACGGAGATGGCCGGTGCGAGCGCTGGCGGCGATATCCTGTCGAAAGGGAAAGAACTGATTTTCATGAAATTCGGATTAGGCAAGTGAGTGATTACCTTGCCCGTGTCGCCAGCTCCGCTTCTTCTCCATTTCAGCCCTACCATATTGTCGTGAATTCATGCTGAAAGCTCGAAGAATCAAGAAATTTATTCATAAATCAGTATTACGGAGAAATGTTCGCGGAGAACAAGCGAGACGCGCAGGCAGGAACGTACGAATGCGTCTCGTCCGATCAAGTCTTCGCGAATATCCCTGAACAAATACAAATGTGTGCTGCCATTGCTGCTGCTGCTGTTGCTGCTGCTAATAACGATTGTTATTATTCCCCTGCAATCATTGGATCGTTCGATTGAAAAGATCTATTCACCTACGAAGAGACCGATATTTATTAATCTTTCTCGTTGGTGCAACTTCCTATATAGGTATTAGTAAAATAAAAAAAGAAGAATGTTCGCTTGCATTTTGATATCTTTCGCGAAAATTGTTCGAGAAAGTTGTTAACGATTAAAGTTGAACGATTAATTATTCGTATTCTTCAGAGAATATAAGCAGAAATTCTTAAAAATAATGAATAATCCTCGTTGAATTTTTTTAGATTTTTTCTTTTAATTTTTTATTTTCTCGTTTTTTACTTTTATCACATCTACTTTCTCCTTTTTCTTTATAGATTATAGATTATAGATTATTGTTTAATGTCACGTAGTTTAAATGAAATAATGAAATTTTATATCATGATGTAAACATTAAATAAGAAATAAAATCGAATAAAATACAGGGACAGAAATAATCGAATTTTTAGTATATTAATGAGTTCGTTATATAAAAAAATTACTCGTCAATTAGTTTAATGAACTAATTATTCTTATTATAAGTATAGATTAGATTGTTAATATTTTATCTATATGTATATGTAAAAAAGTAGTGAGAATTGAAAACAAAAAGGAAATAGAATTACTTAATTTTATTAATAAGTAATTTATTTAGTTTAAGATTACATTAGTTTAGATTACATTAGATTTTAGAAGCTATTAAAATCTCGCTTTCAAAGAGGCTTTTTTTTTATTATTAGACAATTGATCTTCGCAACAAAATATTTTAGAAAATTAAATATCAAAACGTGACATATATATAACTATTTACAATATCTTATTTTTTATTTATTATCTATTATTTATTTTTTTTTCTTCGTTTTTCTTGCCTCGACATATAATTTTCTCCTTTTAAAATATATAATCAAATTTTATGTTAATATTAGACAAATACGAAGAAAAGAAACGAGTAAAAATGTGATTATAACAATAACTAAATAGAGTAATGCAAGTGGATCATTCGTAAAGAATAAATAGGAAAGTAGCTCCTTGTTATACTTGAACAGGACTTTAAAATAAATAAATCATTGTATAAGACAAAGGTGAAATGACGTCAAGAAATCGACAGAAGCATTTACAATAGGGCGACTCGTGGATCAAATTGAACTACGTCATAAAATATATAAATATATAAATATATATATATATAAATAAAACAAATAAATAAATAAATAAATTAAATAATATCGCTCCGAGAAAACGGAGTATGAAATTTGGTCGACAAAAGAAAATATTAGAGAAAGGAAAAAGAGATATGAAAAATCATAGCATACGTATAATGCCACGTCTTAATTAGATGTTATTACAACAACAAAATGATACAACTCACTGTTGTCAATGAGTGACAATATCTATATACGGCTCATCTTCTTTGCATTTCAAAAATCAATAATTTAGCAAAATTATATATTTTTCTTACAGACGTTGTGTGACAACATTGCATCACACGCGTTGCCAATTCTAATCATTAGAATTTTCTTTGTTTGTTTAATATCAATTTGGTCAATTGGTCGATCAAATAAACGACAATGATTTTGTCATCGTACGACATCTATTTAAAACATGGCATGATACGCAAATAAGATATAAATATATACATATGCATATACATATATGCATGCATACGTGTACGTATATATATATTAATATATGTAGGTAAAGGTATGTATGCATACAAATATATATACACATATATATACATATTATATTTAACTATTGCAAAGTGTTGTTACATCGCTACTTGTATCGTATTTTGTACAAAGTATCCTTACCTTCAATTGTTCTTTTTCTTTTTTTGCCATAATATATATATATTATTATATGTATATATATTAATATATATATACACATATATATACATATTTATATATGTATATATATAATATATATATTATATATATATATATACATATATAGATATATAAAAATAAATAAATAAATAAGTACACAATAAGACACAATATAAAGAATCCTTAGCAAAACAAAGAAAGCGTGACAAATATTTCAAATGTCATTTTCCATCATATTTTGGAAATCATAAATTCGAAATTGATCATAATTGTTATAAAATATCGTGGATATATCTGTTTAAAACCGATAGTTGCCTCTCGTCCGTTTATGTTAATCGAGTGTCGATAAATATTATAATATTGTGAATGATATGCGATCTATAAATTAATTAACAATGTTAAACACGCGGCCCAAAAATTCGTTTTGAAAAATTCTTCAATTATATTTCTTCAATTAAATTTTCTTTCAAATTTAAATCCTTTATAATCTATTTATATACATTATTGAAAGATTGTTACATTATTTGATTTCAATTTTTCTTCCAATTTATAATCAATTTATTATAATTTAATGCAAAAAAAAAAGAGTTAATTTGTATTTTCTTTACATACTTTCATTATCTTTCATTTTTGTCGCAATAATTATTAGATTTGCTGGAATGCGAGATTGGGCCACACGTAGTAGCACCATCAAATTGATACAATATGATTTTTGAATCTTGTTTTTGCAATGTCGATCACGATGAATCGCATAACGTTTAACGAGCAAGAGTTACAAAAACTGTGTATACTATGACTATGGACCAAACTATATTTTTTCGAGAGACCAATTTGGCTATTCAAATGTAGATTCATTTCTCTTAATTCCATTTAATATTTCCTTTCACTTTCTTCGCGAAAAGCTAAATATAGATAAAAATGTTTTTATTAATATGTGTAATTCACATTTGAAAACTGTAGGTATTTATGATTAAGCATATTTCGATGTAATATTGTCATTGAAATAAAAGTCGCGAAATATGTAAAGCTTGCTCGATTGTCGTGTTCGATTTAACGCACGAAATTGCAAACTCAACATAGTCAATCTCGTTCGACCAGTATTCGCGCGAGCGTGAAAAATTTAAATTTTGTCTGAATCAAAAATTTATTGAAATGAATAGATACGCTTTCGATGCTGTTCTTTGAAATGTGTTTATCAACGATATCCGTTTGATCCATTGGAAATAATCAGAGTTACATTTATTATAAGCATCTTTCAAAAATTCTACAATATGATTTAAAAATAAGTACATAATGTACATTGTATAATTAAGCCGTTATTATAAAGTTTATTAATATTCTTCAGCATTCAATTCTATGTCGATGGATTATTGTAATCTGTTGATTTAGAAAAATTTTCCAATGGATCGAGTCAAAAATATATTAGTTTCCTTTGATCTTTATCCTTTATCCTAGTAACTTTTGAGCGGAGTAAACTCGCGATTGTTGTCAGAATTCCTATAAATCTTTGTTGTAAACATATCTAATGTGAAATATTGATTCAGGCGATTAAACGAAGAAAAGAAAAAAAAGAAAAAGACTGACGTGACATTTAAGATCTTTAAATGCTTAACACGTTCGCTACCAATATCAGAATTGATTGATGAAAATATTTGAGTATTCAGTCGATTCATCGGAAGATACGAATCTAACCTAGTAATCAACTTAACCCAACATTCGCGAAAAATTGATGAACCGATCAAATCTATAAGAAGAGAAAAAAAAAAAAAACAGCATATTCTTCAAAGAAAAATTCTTAGATAAAAATTTCATTCAAATGGTAGTGAATGTGTTAATTAAATATTTCTTAGCAAATCTATATCGTTCATCTCTTTAATGCCATCTCTTTAACATTTTTGCTTTTTTCCCTCGTTTTTCATTATTCAGTTTTATATTGATATAAATCACGTAGCGAAACGAGTTTAAAACGATTCAAATGAAAATGTATGTGAGAAAAAATCCAGAATCATTGTAAAACGTAGCAGCATTGAATATGTACGAAAGAAAATATTGGAATAGTTACGAAAAATCTTCATCTATTATTGTTAAGTGTTAGATATCATAAGCAAAAAAAAAAAAAAAAAAAAAAGATAAAAAAAAAGATAAAAAAAATGCAAGTAGTCTTATAATAAAAAAAATGCAAAAAATGTAACGCGAGAAAAAATCCATTTCAAGTATTCCACGTATCGAGAGCTAAATTCTGTCTCTTCTCTATTTGTGATCGGACTAAATCTTAGAAGATAATAATTTTAACAACAACAACAGGAACAATAAATTAACGCAATGCAACGGTCGAACATGATTAAGAACTAACAGATAATACTTAGACAAATCTTTATTTAAACATTTATCAGAAGTAATGATATAAAACGGATGAAAAAAACAAGCGCAAATTAAACGTAAATAATATTCTAAGAAATTAAATCAAGAATAAAACATTATAAAAAAAAATGTGAAAAAATATAATAATGAGAGAAAATTGAATTCTCTTAGATACTTCGAAGTCGTTTCGTTTGTTATCTACGCTCATTTTTGTGTAGTGTCTCACTTGTATATTATCATTATTATAAATTTAGTCGTTGAATGAATTCGTATGAAACAGTTTTTTGATACAGCTAATACAATATGAATTGCAAATATAAGCCGTGCCGAAGATGATGCGTATGTGTATGTCCGAAATAAATGAACGAGAAATGATGTTCGTTCAAACGTTGATCTTTTTCCGCTGAAAAGACCGTCTAAAGAGCGTGGAAAATTCTTTAATTCGATGAAAAAAATTAATAAGTAAAATAATCAATATTAGATCTCATACTGAAATCTCTCTTTCAGAAAAGTGTTTTCCACATCCTGAGAAAAAATAGATGTACAAGCGTTATATCGATTTAGATAACGGTTAGTTAAATAATATACAATATTTCAACAGTTATTAATGACGAGTATTAATCTTCTATGAGAGATTAAAACTCCCTTTGGAATTGTAGAACTTTATTCCATGAAAACACTTTATGGAAAGATAGAATAAAGAAAGAAAAGAGAAAGAATGCGCATATGTACGAGTGGATGTGTATATATCGATGCATATATAAGATGATATAATGAATAAAAATCAAAGGGGAAAGAAAATAGTTTGAAAGGAAAAGAGTTAAAAACATTGGATAGTATGGAATAGAAGACCTAAAGAACATATTTCGATGGTGTTATTAGCTAGGCGCCAATTATTGTCATTCCTTCTCTTACATCGATACTCTAAAATTACTCTAAAATTGTATAAACAGAACGTAGCGCATAAAAAAAAGAAATCGATTATATATACTCATAAAACTTTTAATATAACAAATTATCGCATTGATTAAGCATGTCAAATCGTCAGCTACGTTTGTCATTCAGTAATCTTGCGCTTTGTTTTTTCTATGAATCGGAGCATAACAATCTATTTCTTGTTAGCCCAATTGAAATATCAGAAAAAACTGCTACAAAAGAAAAAAAATCAACAAAAAACAATGTTATTATAAACGATTAATTAATAAAAAACGAATCTTGTTTGTTGTTACTTTTTGTTTTTTTCATCTCATCCTTTTCATGAAGTTCCATTAGAGTAATAAAAATATTTGCATATATCGTAAATTAAAACATATTTAATTAAAATATAAAATAAAAAAAAAAATTATCAAATTACAAAATAAGTTCACATTTATTAGATGAGAGAAGTATTTTATTTAATGTGAACTATGATAGCAGAATGAATATACATGTATATAATTTAATTAAGCAATATATACTTAGATTATCATAGAAGAGTATCATGGACTAACACAATATAAAGAAAATAGTTATGATTTATGTATCCTCCTCCCAGACAGTTTCAGTCAAGATTGCAATGTTGTCTAATCCTCTCATCGGCGCATATTCCAAAGTCCACATTAAATTAGTAAAAACAACTAAAATCAATATGATGAATATAAAATCAATGACCAATTCTTAATTCATTCTACTAATAATGTATTTAAATTATTTAATAAATAATTTATTTAATAATAGATTATTTATTAAATATTTATCTATACAATTAATTTTTCAACTTACGCATCTCGCCTTGATGCAAATCTGCTACTAATTCAGGACAAGAACTATTACAAGGATTTATAGGAGTCAAACGAAGTTGTGTAGCTCCTCGTAATTGAGCTAAAGCTATAAGACCTGAATCTAGTTCAACCTTTTTATAACTTGGACTATTATAATCCGAAGACATAAGAACCCAATTAAAATGCGCTGGTGAGACAGTACTTGAAAGGAAATATGGACGTTGGTAATACTTTCTCAATACTTTCACTGCATTGATATCGCAATTTTGCCAATGGACGAACCATTTAGCTACTTCAGGTGAATGTACCCGACGCAAAAATGCTGCCAAGTCAGACGAACCAGTTCTCAAATTTGAAGTCAAAGCACATGGTACTGTTTCCATTAAGCGTTCATTTTCTAAATAAAGCTGTTAATATAAATAAAATATATATAAACAAAATATATAAATAAATTTGTTAAATACACATGAAATTTTTTTGAAATTATACATGATTTTTTTTTTGAATTGTGCATTTATTTTATCAAAGGAAATAAAATACATAATAAATACAATTGTTGTAATAATAATTATACTTACATGAGTAATATTATCGAACCAAAAATAATCTGTATTCATAACTGCCCAAGAATCCATTGCATCTGTAATAATTGCAGGTGCATCTCTGCTCAGATAATTATCAACAAGATTTCGATATCTTACATCTGATAAACGGTCAATAGTTTCCAAAGCTTCACAAGTCTGTAAATATAATTTCTGATTACTTTAGTAATTTATTTTTAAAAATACTTTCGATTAATATTAATAATCATACCACACAATCTTCTTCAGTTATCATATAATCATTATAAAAAGGATTATTAATCATACAATTTTCATAGTACAAAGGTTGCCAATTCCAAATTGGTAGAACTTTGATAAGTAAAAGACGACTAATTGCAGTAAAATGAGTTCCAACAAAATCAAGTTGAGCTGCTAGACATGCTAAAGTACCAAGAACAATTAATACAAGTGTTCCCCTGATAACAAGTTGTAACCAAGAGCGCCGCATTGCAGCTACTAATGGTTGACAAATAATATCCATTTCTTCTTCTGTAAAGCCAGCTTGTTGACAATATCTATTAATTAATTACATAAAATACAATCATTAAATAAAAATTAAATATCATATATTATATATCATAAAAATCATATATTAAAATAATTAATATAATAATATCATACTAAAAATATTTTTCATATATAACACATATAAAAAATGATTTTATAATATTAAAAAAAATAATAAAAGAATTTTAAATAATGAATACGTACCAATAATAAAGAATGTAATATTGTACATATCAAATAATTTTCTTTAAAAAAAAGTTAGCACAATATTAAAGAAAATTAAAATTATATACATTTAAAAAAATATAACAAGATAAAAAATTTTCTAAAATTTTACTTGTAAAACGCATTCAATTCATCGTCTATCAATCGTAGCTTTTCCGAATGTGACATTTCTTGTTGATCTTTTACATAATTTTTACGCAATTGTTTAATACATTTACTATTCGACATCTTTACTTTTAATTCAATATAAATTTCTTTATATTATTTGTTATATTTTTCACTCTCTGAAATTGGAGAAATGAACTAGTTATATCGAACAGAAATACAATCTGTACATGCGCACATTTTCGTATTATCCATGCGAACATATTGATTGTTTATTATCATTATTGAAAATACCGCGGGAAAGTATGGCTAAGTTTTAATTGTTTCATATAATTATATACAAAAAATACATTTTTCATAGATAAAAAACATGAAATATTATTAATTATTTAAAATATAAATTAAATATTAAAAATATAATAAATAAGTATATTAGTAATTTGTTACAAAAAAATCTTAAAAATTGTACTTAAAATGAAAAGAAAAAACTAATTTAAAAATCTATATCTTTTTTTTTTCTATAATATATTATCTTTTTTTTTTATTAATCAAATTGCTTTATAAATTTACATTAAAACATTTCAAATAATATAATTAAAATATAATTATATTTATTCATATATATATAAAAAAATTTTTAAATTTACTATTAATAAAAAATTAATAGTACTATTATTTTAGTTCTTATAAATTATTTATTATATTACTTGAAAATATATATATATATTTTATATATATAATTTATATATATATAGCCATCGATATATAAATATATGTACATATATATACATTATATATATCTAAAGCTATTGATACATAATAATATTGTTGTAATCTTGTGCTATTCAAAATATTGAAATATCAGTTTTAATAATTTGTTACAATAATATAATATTATTTACATAAAGAAATTTATCAATAACAATGTACAAAATAAGGTTATTTGGTAAGTATTTATTTAAAATATACTATTATATGAATATATATTATATAAAAATTTCACAATTTTTATTTTCTAAATCAGTTGCACAAAATAAAACTACAATTTATAATAATATTATTCGAAATATTGTTAGTCTTTCCATGTTACCAGAGACTCATCAGATGTTACATAAAACATGCAGGTACTCATCATTATATATTTATAATATTTTTATTTTTTATTTTTTTTTTTTTCAATATAAATCATAATACAATGCAATATATCATATAATAAATATTATATTATAGAGACTTTGCAGAAGAAGAATTAAAGCCTTTAGCAACAGAAATTGACAAAAAACATCTTTATCCAGAAAAACAAGTTAAAAAGATGGGAGAATTGGGTTTAATGAGTATAGCAATTCCTGAAAATTTAGGTGGAACTGGACTAGATTATTTAGCTTATGCTATTGCATTAGAAGAAATATCTAGAGGTTGTGCTAGTACAGGTCTCATAATGAGTGTACATAATTCTCTTTATTTAGGACCTATACAAAAATTTGGCAATAAAGATCAAATAAAAAAATATATTACCCCCTTTACAACTGGTAATAAGATTGGATGTTTTGCCCTTAGTGAACCAGGCAATGGTAGTGATGCAAGTGCTGCTTCTACTATTGCTAAATTAAATGGATCTAATTATTTAATTAACGGTACTAAATCATGGATAACAAATGCTTATGAATCAGATGCAATTATTCTATTTGCTACAACGGACAAATCTAAAAAGCATAAAGGTATAAGTGCATTTATAGTTGATAAAACTACAGAAGGTCTTTTTGTTGGTAAAAAAGAGGATAAATTAGGTATTTGTGGTAGCAGTACCTGTTCATTAATATTTGAAGATTGTAAATTACCAAAAGAAAATTTATTAGGAGAATCAGGAATGGGTTTTAAAATTGCAATGACGACTTTGGGTATGAAATGAATTCATGGTATCTATATAAATGTAATATCTGAAAAAATAATAATCACAATATATAACTTCTAGATGCTGGTAGAATTGGCATTGCTGCTCAAGCATTAGGCATAGCTCAAGCATCTCTCGACTGTGCAATCGAGTACGCGGCAAAACGACAAGCATTTGGTAGTTCTATTATTAAATTACAAACAATTCAACAAAAAATTGCTGACATGTCATTGAGATTAGAAAGTTCAAGATTATTAACATGGCGAGCAGCTGCACTTAAAGATAATAATAAATCATATACAAAGGTGCGACGATAAAAATAATTAAATTCAAACATAATTTAATAATTTTTTTTTGTTAGGAAGCTGCTATGGCAAAATTATCATCATCTGAAACATCTACTTTCTGTGCGCATCAATGCATGCAAATTTTAGGTGGTATGGGTTACGTTAGTGATATGCCAGCAGAACGTTATTATAGAGATGCACGCATTACTGAAATTTATGAAGGTACATCAGAGATACAAAGATTAGTTATAGCTGCAAATGTTATCAAAGAATACAATCTTAATTGAAATATTTAAATGCGACATATATTTTTCTACTGAAGTTCTTCATATGCAAACAAAATATTTTTTATATATTTTATTAATTTTATATATTTATATTTTTATCCTTTACGAAGAAAGGCTAATAAATTTTATATATCATTATAATTATGTAGTTTTTTTTTATGATTTAATGTCATAAAATAAATGTAAATATATATGTAAATATGCAAAACTTACATATTTAAATATGCAAAAACATATACCAATATCTCATTATTAATTCTATAGCAATATTATACGAATTTTTATTTATAATTTCTTTATACTCGCTCATTATGGAATGATGACAAATAGATTATTTGTTAAAATAATGAATAGGAATGATAAACACTATCTATAATGAGATTTTATTTTAAAATCTCTATTAATTATATAAGTAATTTGATAAGATCGCATATCATACTTAAATACTAAAATTCACAATTGAGTAGCATAAATTCTGATACTCCCTGTATTAAGATCCCAAAAAATTACAGTTTTATCTAAATTGTATTTCTATAACTATCTTAAATTCTACACTATAGATCCCAGTACAACAGATAACAGTATACATATAATTTGTGCAAACGACAATTACGATTTTTTTCAACTATATTTTTATCGAATTCTTTCTTTGTTTTATATAAGCAAAGATATTAAATATGACATTTAAATTTGTTGGATAGAGATCTATTGGAATGTAAAGAAATATGTAAGTGAATATAATATTTCAATTTGAATTTCACTGTATGCTTCTTTTCTTATATACAATAGTGCATTTGCCGTTGTAATTTTTACATTAAAATAGTTTTTTTCTTTTTTCATATGTATATATATATATATATATGTATAATTCAATTATCTTATAAAATTATTTTTATATTTTTCACAAACAATATAATAATATAGTGCCAATATGGTAATCAAAGATTTAATTGAAGTTTAGCAAATTGGTCCAAATTTTGATGCACATATTTTTCTTTAATTTTTTCATTAAAAAGAAACAAAAAAGGATTTCTATAGTTTAATCATTATTTTTTTAATTATTTTATTTATAATATTGAATATTAGTAAGAGAATAAATTATGACAAAATCAATTTTCTGTTTTGAAACTGTTAAAATAATTTTGTTTAATTCTTCTGATTATTATACAGAGTATAATTGGATTTAAAAACTTTCAGGCCACTTACTGCACAAACTTATTAAAATAATCATTGTTATATAAATATAATGATATTTTTGGTTTCAAATCATAATATAATAAATTTAAAATAATAAATTGTGAATTATTATTTCGCAATTTTTGTGTCTAATTTCATCAATTATATTATATAGCAAGCATTCCGAACGACTTATTTATAAATTTTAATATTGAACTACTATGGTGTTAAATAACATTACATATTTTTCCACCTAAATTGATTTTATCGAACTCTGTACTTTTTTTGAATATTTTATACATTGTATAAGTTGAACTGATCTGTATCAGTTCTCTCTTATTATTTGCTATATTATAATCTTTGACAATAGATACATTTATCTAAAACGCTTGTAAATGTAAATAAATTAAAATCATAAGTAATTATAATAGACACTGAATCTAAACACTTAAATTCTGGAAATTGTCCCGATCCTGCAGGATCGCCTATGACAAAACATGTGAGTGTATTTTTATAGGTATGCGTATGTATCTGAGACATATAAGGAAATTGATTTAACCATCCATAATAGAAGCTATCAAAGCTTCAATCATCAGCTCGCATACCCCTTACTTCTCCTTGATCTCTTTGCTGAAAAATTCAAATATCTTTTATAATTAATTAAATAACTAAAAACTCAAATTAATTAATATGTAATTAATATAATGTAACTTTTAATATATTATAAATTTTTAAAATTACTTACCCTATCTAATTCTTCTTTCGTACTTTCTTCAATTGCTCTAATATCTTCCATAGTTAAACCATACCAACGATCAATCCAACAAAACACTTGCCTATGAAAGTTAGTAAAGAGACGCCTTTCTGCTTTTTGTATAAAACTTTCAACGCGATTTTGTAAACCAAACCATTTAAATTCACAAGTAACTAGTTTATAGCATGTCATTACAGGTTGGACATTATTTTTCCAATCTTTACCAATAAGAGGACCTCGACCTGTTTTCACAGATTTAAATTTAGTTGGATCTTCATCCTCCTTATAATCAGCATTTGCAATTGGATCATTTGCAATATCTATATGTATTACTTCTCTTATTTTTAATTTATCAGGAGGTAATTCATGAACCTATTAGTTAATAAATAATATTAATATATATAAAAAATAAAACTAAAATAAAACTATTTTTATAAATTTTTTACACACATTATGTTGATTTCCAACATCATCAATGTGAAATGATTCAATCATAATTACAAAATTTTCTTTCATATATCCAGGATTCTGTACAAAAAACAAAAAAATATTAAAATCTAAATAGAAATTTTGTAAAAAATTTTTATAAACAAATTGTACTTACAGTAATAACTGTTTTACAATAAGGATAAGCATTCCAAGCTTCTTCATGAATTTCCAAGGAATTCTTTGGCAGCATAATACGAATAAAAGCAGGCACTTTACTAGCTAAATGATAAATCTTGTATGTATATTGACCTGAAGAATATTTTCCACCAAGTAAAGGATAATCTGTGAATGGCTCATTTTTTAACACTTGTATTCCCTCTCCTCCTCCAGTATTATTTTTACTAGCTTCTGCTACAGAATATAGCTGAGCCACTTGATACTGCCACGAAATAAGTTATATTTTATAATATATAAATTATGTATAGAAAGTAATAATAAAGCAATATAAAATTCATTTTAATAAATAAAATCAATAAAATAAAAAATATCTAATCACATAAATATAAACATTATTTTTTTTTTTATAAGGAAATTTTAATATCAATAATAATTTATTTATTATATTATTATAAAATATATAAAATATTATTTTTATAACTTTAAATAATTTATTTTTTTATAAGAAAAATCAAATATTAATAAAGGAAAAAAAATTAGCAATAAATGTAAAAATATGCGAATAATTAAAGATTAAATTAAACAAAATATGAAGAAGATAGAATATATTTATGCATTTTAAAAGAAAAACATTTATTATATTCTAACTGAATAATAATAAATCTAACAATAAAATGAGCATGATAAGACAAGATTTGATAGATATATCAAATTAAAAATTCAAAACATTCAAGATAATCACATGCTTCTAAATAATAATAAACTATAATTAAATGATTTGCAATTTTTGATAATTGTATAGTATTGATGTAGAAATTATTTAAGTTTTTATTTCTATTCAATTGCAATAATATATTTCAAAATGGGTCATTATAATGAGATCTTATTATTCATTAAATACATACCTCTTTCACATTAAGAGGCAAAGTGACACGGCTGTAACAGAAATTAATAAATTATATTTCAATTACTAAATAAAAAGTAATCATATATTTATAAGCAACGACCTTGAATACACTTAATATGAACTTAAGTATCACATTCCAGGTATTGAAAATTGAACGATAAATAACGTATGATGAACAAATTTCTTTTGAAAACAATACTTATCAGTTAAAATAAAATTATTCACCGCATATAAAATGTTATCCGTATGGATGACAAGGGATGAAAGTGCATCCCTCTTTACCCCTCCAATCCCACCCACCGTTAAAGATTAGTAACCATATCCCAAGAATTACTTTTAAATGTTCGATCAGTTCTCGTTCATCACGCTATATTAAACTAATAATAAAAAATTTCGCAAGAACTTACAATTCTTTGATGAGCATTTTAACAAGCAGAGCACATGGGCTGCAGTAATTCAGTGCGGCCACACAGAACCACCCTTGCTTTAGCAAATTCACTCGTGTTATCTCTCAACCCGCAGTCATACGCATACAACGGCGTCGACTTCTCAACGGACTGCCACACACTTGAATCACTGAGTGCCACACTGCACAGCCACTAAAAAGCACACTTACTTGCGCACACATGTGCATCGAATTTCCCCACTCTTACTTCACAGACACTTTGCAAAATGACGTCATGCTTACATGTATCTCAATTCGCATGCGCATTTATCATCTATCAAGTTTACAATAATTTAATCTGGGGATTTCATATAGAATTTATAAAAAAAATATTAAGTAATTATAAGAAATATTGTTGCTAATTTATTATATTCTATTATGAATCTATATTACAATTTTTATTTAATATTATATTAAATAAATTTATTGAATATAAATGAAATTTGAAGTCTGAAAGAAATATTAAAAAATTCACTATGATTTTCATGAAAATTGAAAATAAAGATATATAACATATAAAAATATAAAACATATAAAAGAGATATCTTATTTAATATACAATTTCATTAATAATTATAATTTATAATTTATAATATGTTCAATAACAAATGTAAATTATATAATACAAATAATTATATAATATTATGTTATTTGTAAAAGAACATATTATAAATTTTAATATCATATACTGTGAAAAATAATATATATTTTTCAACAAAAGAAGTTTAAAAACAATAAAAAATTATTATTTTTTTAAATATTATTTATTGAAAAGTATAAAGATTATAGTGAGAAAAAATATTTTGATAAATATTATATAATTTTATAAGTAGATATTTTTTTTAAACATTTTTAAAAAAAGATTTTTTTAATTGTTTCTTTTTATTTTAATAGAAATATTATATGATTTTAGAATAGATAGATATTTTAAGAGAAATTTAAGAAAAAAATTTAAAAATATGATAAATAAAAAGTGAAAGTTATTTTTTATTTACAATGTACTTCATGTACAAAAAAGCTATTCATTTATACAATATTGATAATTTTGTACAGAATATGTGATAGAATTTATGATATATAACTTAAAAATTCCTAAGTTTCATATTTATAACTACATAAAAAAATTAGAAAGATATCTTGTATTCATTTTTCATAATAATATTATGTTACTTTATAACAAAATTTTGAAATAAAAATAAGTATTATATATTTGCAATAAATATTGGTTTATGACAATATTTGGTTATAAAATTTATATTATGAATAGATATATCATGCAACATTTGTTGGTTTATTTTAGAATCGACTATAATCGACGAGTCGATTGATCGATATGATTTGGTGTGTGTGACGAAATATACTTAGATGACAGCGCGTATACTGACGCGCCTAAGAATATTTCGTTCAGAATAAATGAAAAGATGAGCAAGTAGTTCGAAAGTTCGAAGAAAAATTCAGTAACATGTTCATATATTTTTTCATGAAGTGGAATTTTTGGTGGACTACTATAATTATAAATCAAGTTTCGTTATTACATGTTATATAGAAGATAAGTACATTAAATGTATGGTAGCTTGTGAATGCACAGAAGACAAGACGCGTGGGAAGATTAAAAAAATTGAATCTTAAACATAGACAAACAAATTGAAAAAGAAAAAGACTGAAAGTGAGCATTTCATAATATAAATCAGAATGGATGAATGTATGCTGAATGATTTATTAGAATGCTCGGTGTGTCTCGAACGATTAGATACATCGAGCAAAGTACTTCCTTGTCAGCATACCTTTTGCAAGAAATGTTTGGAAGAGATAGTTAACACTCATCATGAATTACGCTGCCCTGAATGTCGCATTTTAGTTGATGTTAAAGTGGATGATTTACCTCCTAATGTATTATTAATGCGTATTTTAGAAGGAATGCGTAATGCAGCTCCTAAATCTACAAAATCTATAATTAAAAATAATCCAGGACCTCAAAGACTCTTTGGTGGCCATCAAATTACTTCAGCTCCCATTGTAACTAATAGTCCTACTCCTACTACATTCACAAATGAATCAATTAGACATGGTAATGCAACAGCGAAACAAGTTCACTTACACAATCAAACATATGGCAGAGCGATCTACGATTATGTATCAAAAGTCCCAGGGTAATTTTATATCCTTTTAACAAAATTGTATTAATATATATTTAAATGATATTTTATAAACTATTTTAAATTTCAGAGATTTGTCTTTTAAAAAAGGTGACATTGTCATTTTACGTAAGAAAATCGATAATAATTGGTGTTTTGGAGAAAGTGCTAATAGTCATGGAGTTTTTCCTTTGTCTTATGTCCAAGTGTGTATTAAAACATTTTATTGTTATAATATGTTAATAATGTAATATAAAAAGTATTTAATAAATTTATATGTACAGATAATGACACCATTGACTCCAGATGTTCCTCAGTGCAAAGCTTTATATGATTTTAGAATGACCAATGATGATGAAGATGGCTGTCTGACATTCAATAAGGTAAGCTATATATAAATATATAGATATAATGTTTTATATTTATTTATTTGATTTAATATTGCATTTTTAAAAATAATTTTATAGGGAGAAATTATTAGTGTTATTAGAAGAGTTGATGAAAATTGGGCAGAAGGAAAATTGTTGGATAGAATTGGTATCTTTCCATTAGCTTTTGTGGAATTGAATAGTGTGGCAAGAGCTTTAATGAAACTTTCAACAAAGTAATTTTTATAATTTGCTATTAACATTATTAGTATATAACATTAATATTTATAATTAATATGTTTTAATTAATTATAATTTATAATATTTTTTAATTAATTGTAATTAATTATAATTAATATTTTTTTCAAAAAAGCACACAACCAGGTCCATCAAGGGTAGCACCTCCTACTCCCACTAATGAAGAAACTACACCTTTAATACCAACTGATCATTCGCGTAATTTACAAACAAATCAATCAAGACCACAACTTATGCAGGTATTACAATTTATTATATATAAAATATATTATTTTTTTAATATTCGAAATGTAACAAAATATATTAACATTTAATATTTTTTCAATAGAATACAATTTTACCAGTTTCTGATTCAATTTCAAATGTATCATCAGGAGGTAGTTCTTCAACTACTACTCCAAACACTCCTAATAGTTCAACTACATCTAGCAGTTCTAGTACTGCTCCAAGTAGTCCTAGTAGTCCAGCAACATCTCCTCCTGCAGTTGGAAATAGACAGAATATTAAACGTCACAGTTTCACTGCTGTTAATAGTGGTCATCAAGCTCATCCACATCATAGACATAGTGCAGAAATACTTAGTCCCCCAGTAGATAATGCTGTTGGTAACAGTAATGATTCATTTTCTTCGTTACAGGTGAATAATATTTTATCATATTAATGTGATAAAAAATTGTCTTATTATATTAAACAAATTTTATATTAATATTATAATCAAAAAATATTAATTTTTTTTCTCTTCATTTATTAGACAACTACCAACACTGCAGATCACAATCTTCGTCACAGGCGAAGCGGTAGTAGTGATCTTGCTCTTGCACAATCATCACAAATTTTGTCTGCTACAGTCGCAAATGCTCATTTACCAGCTGCATATATAGCTCTGTATCCATATAAGCCTCAAAAAGCAGATGAACTTGAATTAAGAAAAGGAGGCATTTATATGGTAACAGAACGTTGTCAAGATGGATGGTTTAAAGGAACTTCTAATCGTACACAAAAATGTGGAGTTTTTCCAGGAAATTATGTTGCACCTGCTAAGTATATGAATATATATTTATGTTAAAAATTTAAAATATAATTTCTTGATTTTAAATAATTTTGTTTTCGTAGATGTCAGCGAAGTTTGTGTCGAGGATCACCAAATACGGGACAGCATCAAAGCTTTCCATCTTCAACAAGTCAAAATAATACTGAGTCACGAATAACTGCAACTTATTCTAAAAATAAAGGATCCACTTCTCAATCTTATAATCCACGCACATTATTACCACCAGAATTACCACCACGTGCTATTAGTCCATCTTTTATGGTATCATCATCTTGGCATGGTCAAAGTCAAATGCAAAATCAAGAAAGTAGTCCTCCACGATACAAGGAACAAAATTCAGCAAATCCTCTTGGACGTAGTCATAGTGCTGTCATGTCACCAAATATTTGTATGTAATATAATTTTATTATATGTAATAATTTTATAAAATATATCATATTAAAATGTGTATATAAGAAATTGTTTTTTATTTTAGCTTCTCCTGGAAAACAGGTAACTTTACCTCAATCATTAATGACTACAACCACAGTTACTGGTATCAACAATAGTGGTACTATTGTTACTGGTGCTGGTTCTTCCATCATAAACGAAATAAATAAAAATCCAAATAGTATTTTGCATGCTGTAGCTTCTCCTTCTTCCACTGCAGTAGTTTCTGTATCTAAAAATAGTGAAAAGGTATATAAATTTATTCTATGTAATAGTAGTTCTTTGTTATATGAACATATATGTATATATATTTTAATTATAGCAGAAAGAAAAAAAAGATAAATGTGTCTCTTTGATGCGACGATTAACGAATATTAAGAAATCAAAATCACCACCTCCTACTACTTATTCAATGGATAATCCTGTTTTTGAAGATAGCAATTCCATTAATCCAGTACATGTTCGGTAAGTTATTTTCTACATTGTTTGCAATAACAATGGCTTATATAGCACATAATTAAACATATCATTGAAGATTTTAAAAAAATAAATAAAATTTGCATGTTTATATTATATTTAACATATTTTATTAATCTGCATGTAATTGTATTGCTATTCGATATTTTATCTGATATTTTATGTTACAATTTAAAATTTATACAATTATATATATGTATTTTTATGATATGTTAAATAATTGTTGAAATTTTTGCATGATTTTAATGTTCACATATGTATATAGAAAAAACAAATAATTTTTATATATGCAAAATAAATTTTTGATTTTCATTATTTGTTTTTCATTATTTTTTTTTATTTTTTAACATTATATGATCTGCATGTGTTGAATTATTTGTCTAATTCTACACGGGGGGTTGGGCGGATATATTTAAAATTAGATCGGGATCTTGCCCAAGTCAGTTGCTACAGGTGGGAGCTACACAGGAATTAAATGCTTCAAACAACTACCATCGTTTGTGTCCAGGCTCTATGCAGGGACATGTCACATCTTCACAAAGACTTAAATACAAGGAGAGACCATCTTTACCGGTCTCAATTCTTCAAAGGTTAGTTACTAAAATTATATATGTTTGACAAATAAAATTATTTAAAAATTAGTATTTATTGTAAAAGATATTTATCTTAATATATTTTCCCAGCTCATATATAAAATGAAAATTGTATTTAGTCTTTTATAATACTTTGTATGTAATAGTTGTGTGATGCATATATATTTAATTATATTAACATTTACAATAAATGATGTAATATATAGGTAAGTGTTTTAATAAATATTGCAAAAATTAAGAATAATACATTATAAATGCTTGATTAATGACATTAAAATTTTTATATTTTTTATCTATTTTTTAATTATGTTTTGTAATTTTTATTGTTTTTTTTATTTTAAATATTTTCAAGAGTTTGCTTGTTGATTAAGAATGTGTATATTTGATGTATAATAACTGTACAAATTTAACAAATATTATTAATATAAGAAATATAATATTATATAATATTCTCTTCTTTTTGAAATTTTAATAAATTAATTTTATTTTTATGTTTTTTATTAACATTTATAGATCTAATGAATCGGGTGGAATGGTATGTACACCAATAGGAAATCATCACCGTAAAAGTAATTCATTAGATGCTGGTATGGGCAAACAAGTCAAACAACAACCTACTCGCGAACGGTAAAAAAAAATAGTTTTATCATTTAATCATTTTATATTTTATTTATTTTTCTTTGTTTTATTTTTACTTAATTAATTAATATTTTTATATATTTATTACTTTTTATTTCAGAGAACGAGTATACAGATTTCGTTGCATTGTGCCATATCCACCTAATAGCGAATTTGAATTAGAACTTCGAGTAGGAGATATTATTTATGTGCATAAAAAACGTGATGATGGTTGGTATAAAGGTACTCAACCAAGAACTGGTCGTACTGGTCTTTTTCCGGCTAGTTTTGTTGAAGCTTTCTGAGATACAGCACAAAATCATTTCATATTAGAAACTTGTATATAATTTTCACAAATCGAAAGTGAAATATTACATACCACTTACTTTTCAAGTCTAATAATATAATTATTATTATGAAGGTAAGTGTATGATTTAAATTGTGAAATTATTCATAATATAATGAGCAGTGCATTAAACACATATATGTACATTATAGTAGTAGTAAATTACATATTCTTGTCGTTATTACGACATAAATAATTTTTTTAATTACATAATAAATGAAATATAGTAAAATTATCTAAAATGATACTGCCATTGATGTTATATTCATATATAAAATATTATTAAAATCTAGTAAGGGAATAAAAGATTATATTACATCAATACTGCCATCTCATAAAAAATACTAAAGAAAAATATATTAATACTGTTTTTTAAAATCATAAAATCATTTCATAATTCACAATATAATAATACTATTATAGTTATTAAGTTATTTTATCTATTTACATATAAAATTTTTATTTATGCAGTAATTTTTTGAAATATAATAATACTGCTGTGAAATTTCTATATATTATTTCTATATATTATTCTATATATTATTCTATATATTAGTTAAATTATGTATATATATTTTTTTTTTCAATTTTATACAAAAAGTAGTTATTTAAGTTTTTTTTGAGAAAATAATAGGGTCAATCTCTCTCTCTTTCTCTCTCTCTCTCTCTCTCTCTCTCTCTCTCTCTCTCTCTCTCACACACACACACACACACGCACGCACAAATATATATATATCTCTTATTTTTAATTTTTTTGAATTGTTTTTTAAAAAATTTGCATGATATTTTTTATAATGTTGTGAAAATTATATAAATTAAAAAAATTGTATCATTTTTAACTCAATATGGTCAGCTTTGATAAATATTTTCTTTTATAAATATATAAAATATTTCTTTTTAAAAAATATAACTTTTATAATACATATAAAAACATTTCATTCTAAAGCATATTTTAAATTAAATTATAATTTACTTTTTTTTTATGAAAATATCTAGATTAGCTTCTTAATGTTCAATGACATCTTGTTAAATAGATAATTATCAAAGGCTGGCCTATATATCTAAAATTGTAAATATTTTAATTAAATAATTTTCTGAAAAAACTGAATTGCATAAATACTTTTAATAAAATCAATTGTATATTTTTACTGTACAATTGGATGTATATGTTTTTTTATTTATGGAATATTTACATGTCATTTACATGCACAATTAAGAAATTATATTATTAACAGCCTACTTCACATAATATAATTATAAGAAATTATTAATTATGAGCTTCCTGAAGTTGAATAATAATCAATATTTGATTATATTTGTTATATTGTCATAAAAGATATGATTTTTAGTCATACATAAGAAAAATTCATTGGCATTGTTATTCTAACAATTTCAATTGTGGTAATTTCAAAAAATTTTAAAGCGTATCTTACATAGAATAAGTCATATATTACTCTTTTATGAATTTTATTTATTTAATTTATGTATTTTTGTCTATAATATTACAAAAAATTATTTTATAAATTTTTATTATTTTTTAATATTATACTCTAGGTATAATTGATGGAAGCGGTATTATGAGGTCATAAAGATATTATATTTTATAAGAATTAAAGAATGTAAGCGAAAAAAAAATTTAGCCTTGTTTATGATGTTAATATAAAATTATCTTTCTATCAATATATTTTTAAAAATTTTTAGCATGAAATTTGAAAGCAAATTCTAAAATATAATATATAATATGTATTTACAATCCAATTATTCAAAATATTTAAAAGACATATAAAGTTTTGTGCATCAATAAATATTACTATGCATTTTTTGAATACATAGTTGATTAAAATCATGAGTTCATAATATCAATTCAACAATACAAATATTTTGATTATCAAATCAGTAAGAAATTTTGAGAATAATATATCTTATCTTTAAGGAATAATATAATATATATATCTATATACATCTGTTCAGAGATATAACAAATAATAATCAATGTAATGAAAAACAAAAAATGTTCTAAATATGGAACATTACAATATATCATCATAATACATTAATATAGAATACTGTTTTTAAAATGAAGTTATTTAAAATGAATTATACATTTTATTTATAATTTCGTATTATATATATATATATATATATTTCCTTAACAAATTACATGACCTCTCTATAACATTTCCTTCAAATATACATATGTGCATTACACATAATATGCGTATATATAATATATAAATAAGATAACGGAGGAAGAAATAATAAAAATTTTTAATTTAGTAAAATTATAAAAAATATAAAATATAAATTTATTAAATTATTTTAATATAAGTTCATTAAATATTATATTTATTATTACTATATTTTATGTATAGAACAATTTTTTCAACAACAAATATGAAGAAAATTTTTGTTAAAATATCTCATATTTTTTATTTTTTTAATTTTCTTCCTCTGTTGATATAAAAATTATATCTTCATATTTAATAATGTACACAATATAAAATGTATTTAAATGTAGGTGTTTTATATAATATAATATAAGATTAAGTAACTTATTAATAATTATAATATCGTAAAAAATAAATATTATACTTATTATTGCAAATTTTAAATATTGATATAAAAAAGCAGCAATAGTATACATATGTGGTAATAATGTATGTCGTAATGAAAACATTGAAATTTATAATTAAGATGATTTTTATTTACTTTTATTTTAAATTCTGAAACAAGTAAAACACAAAAATATTTAGAATTGTAAATAAAATATAATTCATCAAAAAATTCAAATTTCATTTTTTATATCATAGAATTTATTTATAAAAGAAAATTGAGAATTAAGATTTTTTAAAAAATTGATATCTTATATATAAATTTAAATAATTTATATAATAGTTAAATTAATAATTATTATTAAGATTGATATAATAGTATTTTGTATTTTTTTAATAATGATTATCAAATATGTCTTATTTAATATGTTTTATTTAAATATGATATTATATCAAACTTATCTTTATACTATACTTATTTCAATTTAGATATAAAATTAATATTTAATTATTAAATATAATTATTAAATAATTAAAAATATAATAAAAAAATAATATAAGTGATTTCTATTACAATATTATTTTTATTGAATTGTATTATATTGTATTGTTAAGATTTTTTATTTTCATTATAATTCTACCATTCTAAAAAAGCAATTTCTGAAAATTCTAATAATGATAAATTTAAAAATATCAAAATTCAATAGCAAATTAAAACATCAAATTAAATTACAGATTCAGTAAGAAGATATTGTATACTTGTATACATTAATACACATATATATTCATACATAATTTTAATTAATAAATCAAATACTTATATCGCTAATTTCTATTTTTTTAATTAATTATGAATCTAGAGCATAAAACCTTGAGTAGTTCTTCAAATCAAAATCAGTTTAGATTATATATCAAAAGTCCAATGTTTACTTTTAAGTTAGTAACCTCATTAATATAAAATATATGATATATAATGAAATATAAAATTATTTATATATTATTTATAAAAAATAATTTTCAAAATAATTATAAAAATAAATATAAAATTGTAACTTATAAATTGTTACTTATAAATTTTATGTTAGCATAATTTATATTTCGACATTGCAATAAGTAACTAGCATCACTATTTAATTCAATATAATTCAATATCTGAAGTCTAAAAAGTCTTATTTTGTATATATTTTTATATGTAAAGATGTTTTGTATGTAAAGATTTTTCATACAAAAATTTGTACATATAAAAAATTTTTTTATTTTATATAAACCAAATTTAACACATTATTTGTTCGAGTTAATAATGAAAACTATATAATTGGTAGAATAATCAGTTAAAAGTCCACCATAATCATTTTAAATTGCAAAGCAACTGCATGTAAAGAAGTGAACAATATCAGAACGACGATTTTACGCATTGTTTAAGCAAGTATTCACAATAATATTTTTCATTAAATAAATAATTATATTAGTATTATAATATTAATATTGTAATAATTACATCATATAAAATTTCCATACAAATATGGAAATTTTTGCAGACTAATTTTTAAATCACTAAATTCTTCATTTTTGGATTTCGCATATCAAAATTTATAAAAACGTAAAAAAAAAAGTAAAAAAATTTTAATATTAATTTGAAAATCATAACGATTCGAATACATTTGAAAGTAAAAAATTATTCTTTTTTTTTTTTGCAAATAGATACTATGTCGATATTATGTCCAAAAATATTTATCTTTGATAAATTTGAGAATTCATGTTCAATATTTTACGATTGCAATTTTCGAAAATTTGATTTGTTTAATTATAAATAATTCTATAAAATTATTAGCAATACTATATACTATTAAAAATTTAAAAATAGACAGTAGAAAAAAATATAAATTTGATTAGTTATTTTTGATAGACTTAATATAATCATATATTATACTAAAATCTCATGTATGTACACAAATAAAATTATATATCGCATGCGCATGAAATGCGCATGAACATTTAAATGGTAGTATTTCTCTTGCTCTATGTACAATCATAGTACCAAATAAATAAGGATAGAAATAAAAATAAAAAAATAATACATGCATATATTAAAGAAAAATAACATATTATATTATATGGATCAATTGATTATATTATATGGAATAATGATTATATTTTACTTTATTCAATTAATTACTTTTATAAATATATAGAAAATATAATTAAAAATTGAAATATAATATAAATCATATAATTCTAATTTATAATTTTATAATTCTAATCATATAATTTCTAATTTATGATTCCTATTCTTATATGATAAAAAATAAATATATATAATTATATTAAATTTTCATTAATTTTAATAAAATGATAATTCAATTTTATAAACTAATTTTCAAATTAAAAATATTCAATATTCAATATTACATTATTATTATATAAGAAATCTATTTTATCTATATTAATTTATATTATATATTTTAATAATAAAGTGTATTTTAATTAGCAATAATGATAGTTGAAAGAGTAATATTATCTACTTTGACAAAAATAAGATTGATTTCCTGTATAAAACCACAATTATTACAGCAGAAACAAAATTTGGTAATATTTATTTGTTATTTTTTAATTTATTTTTAAGAATTTAGATTTTAATAATTTTTCTTTTCTTAATTAGACTAACTTTCTATTGGTGTGTAAATTATCAAGTTATCATGTTACAAAAAATATTGAACATATTTTGCATGATAATCAAATTAGAACTGATGCAATTAGACAGAATTTTAATAACGAAAAAAATAGACCTTTATTAATTTTACTTAGTTGGTTGTTACCAAAGCATAGACATATTATGAAATTTGCAAATTTATATGTGGAACAAGGGTTTGATATTGTTATATTATCAATTACACCTTGGCAATTAATATGGCCTACAAAAGGATCTAGGGTAAATACATAAAATATAAACTATAATATATTACATATATTAATATTTATAATATTATAATTTAATTTATAAAAATTTCATTTTAGTTAGTTGCTTCAGATTTATTGGAGTTTCTAATAAAACATCAAAATTATCAGCAAATAGTATTACATGGATTTTCAGTAGGTGGATATATGTGGGGAGAAATTTTGGACTTAATACAGAGTGATTATCAAAAATATAATAATGTAATTGAAAGAATTGTTGGTCAAATATGGGATAGTTTAGCTGATGTGACTGAATTATCAATAGGTATACCACATGCTATATTTCCAAAAAATAAAATGCTACAAAATATGTTTCAAAAATATTTAGAGTAAGTTTGTTAACTTTAATTGTATTCATATTTCTTATAATATAAATTTTCAGTTTAACTTATACAGGATTTTAAAATATTGAAATCAAACTTCAATAGCAAATAATAAGATCAATTTTATGGAAAGGTTTTATACAGATTTTGAAACAGATTTTCACCAATCTGAAGATTTAAAATCCATCATAATTACAAAAAAACATTTATTTATATGCTGTATAGTGATAAAGTTATATATATTTAAGTAATATAATTGATAAAAACATATTATAATTTTCAAAACAATATAATATTTAATTTCATTATTTTTTTATTTATTTTGATAAATATTACATGTCTTTAAATCTTTTAATTTTTCAAACATCTTATATTAAATATAATTTACAGATATATAATTATATATATTAAATATATATAATTTACAGATATCATATGAAAGCTTTTTATAAACAATCTACACAATATTACATAAGATCTAGTCAATTGTTTCATACAAATTTGGTACATAGTCCAGCATTATTTTTTGTAAGTAAAACAGATCCAGTAGGTTCACTAACAAGTAATTTAAGAGTAAAGGATCAATGGGATACTGTGGGTGTAAAGGTAATGTGTATAAATATAAATCATAAAATAGTGTCAGAAATATTTATATCTCTCTTTTTCAGACTTACATCAAAATATTTGAAAAATCTCCACATGTTGGACATTATCGTAAATATCCAAAGGAATATGTTGCAGAATTGTATACTTTTTTGAATAAATTGCCTTTAATACAACATGAAAAGAAAATGGGAGCACAGTTTTGAATGTTTTATTGCTGATATTTTTAAAATATTGAAGTATTCAATGAAAAAATATTTATTGATATTTATTTTCTTTTTATAAAATAATTATTTTTTAAAACATGATAATAATTTTAATTATACAAAACACAAAAGAAATATCTTTTTCTTATTCATGTACTAAATATTATTGTATTATTACAAAAATAATTTATAATTTATATTATTTATGTCATATACACTTACTTATTATGCTATATATTTCAATAAAATATGAATTACAATCACATTTTATTTTTATTATATGATTTCTTGAGAATTTTCTGCTTTTTTTTCAATTTATAGCATCTTTTGTTTTCTAATATTTCTTCAATTTCATCTGGATCTTTTCCCTCAAGGATAAGTTTTTTACGTTTATTTATAATTTTTTTTTCATAAAAATTCGTTTCATCCAATTTCATTTCCGCTTCTCGTTTAGCAACAGATATTTGTGTTAAAATTGTAATTATTTCCTTATCTATACATGAAAAAAATATATAATTATATTCTGAATATTAATTTTGTAAAATATTAGAAAAAAATTTATTACCATTAATTTTATATTCTGTGAGTTTTGTACCAATAGTATTTTCAACTGCATGTAATAATTTAATATCATGTGGAGTTATTAGAGTAATTGCCATACCATTTTTTCCTGCTCTAGCTGTTCGTCCAACTCTATGAATATATTCTTTTGGTACATTTGGTATAATATGATTTATAACTAATTCAACAGTAGGAATATCTAAACCTCTTGCTGCAACATCTGTGGCTATTAAAATTTTTATATGATTGGATTTAAATTGAACAAGTGCAGCTAAACGATCTTTTTGTTTTACCATTGAATGTAGGGCTACATTTTTAAATCCAACATCATTTAGTGTCATAGATAATATTTGACAATGTCTAAAAAATTTAGCATAGAGTAAAATATTGAATCTTTATATTGTATGAAATCTTATATATATATATAAAATTTTAATTTACTTGCAAGTATCTGTAAATATTATTATAGATCCATTTTTATTATTTGCTCGAAAAGTTCTAATTACTTCTACTAAGAAAGAATCACGAATATCTCTTGGACAAAGTACATAATGTTGATTAAGTTCTTTTACTGTAGCTATACCAGATTCATCTTTGGATTCCCATATAAAGGACTTTAAAAATATTTAAAGTCATTTTTTATCATATAATTTTTCATTTAATTTTTTAACTATTTATAAAATTTTATAATACCTTACTGGATACTATGTGTTTTACTTTGTGAAGAGTATCTGTCATTGTAGCACTAAAAAGAAGCATTTGTTTCTGCTTAGGTAAAGCTTCAAATATAGTTTTCAACTGATCATCAAAGTAACCTTCCAGAAGTCTGTCAGCTTCATCTAGGACTAAAAATTTAATTTGTTTCAAAGAAAATGTATTACAACTTTCAAGATGATCTGCTAAACGTCCTGGAGTTGCAACAACTATATGTGGATGTTTTGATAATTCTAAACCTTGTACAACCATATCCATACCACCAACAATTACACATTTTTTTAAACCAATAGATTTTCCTATTGCTGAAAATTGATCTGCAATCTATAAATAAAATTTTTTGCGTTAAAATATTGAATATATAAAATTAAAAAAAAAAATTTTTTAAAAAATTTTAATCCTACTTGGAAAGCAAGTTCTCTAGTTGGTGTTAAAACAAGCGCAAATATACCATATGGATCTTCAGACAATTTTTGTAATATAGGAAGTGCAAAAGCAAGTGTTTTGCCACTGCCAGTTTTTGCACAGCCAATACAGTCAGTACCAGCTAGAATTCTTGGAATACAATTTTGTTGAATTGGTGTAGGATATTTTAAACCTAGAAATATAAAAATTAACAATAATTTTTGTTTAACAATTTAATCAATAATTGTTTGAATACTAACCCATAAAAGTACATTGTTGGACAAGCCATAAGCTTAAATTTAACTCAGCAAATGTCATAATTCTTCTAAAAAAATCTAGCTCTTTCAATATATGATTAAAATATTTTTTTTTTAAATCTTTTAATTTTAATTTTCTTCCACAATAAAATTTGAAATTTATTAACATATATATTTTAAAATTAATATTACTCAATATTAATAATTATAACCTTTCATATAATTTTTTAAAATTATACAATTTATAAATATCGAATCATTAATCTAACAATAAATAAATTAAATTAATCGTCAGATGATAAAAAATTTTAAGTAAAAATCAAAATATTTATTGTTTTCTATGATTTAGAGCGACAAAAATAGAATTACATTCAATTCAATCACAAAAGTAACAAATTTTAAAAATTTTCTTAAAAATTTTTTTAATATATTCTTTCACAAATATTCTCTCTTTGTTTAAATTTGTATTTCATCTATAGTATTCTCAAAATTATACTAATTTTTAAATTTTTACTTTTTTTCTATTCTTGTTTATTGTATTCTCTATCTGTATTTTCTTTTATTTGTGTATTTATTTGTATATGCTATTGCGCATGGCCATAAATAAAATAGTCATAAGATAGTAAATTACCCTTTGAAATAAATCTTCAATTAACTATTAGAAAAAATTATGTTTAATAACAAATTTTTAGAAAATTAAGAAAAACTTGTATATAATAATATAAGATGATATAGTTTTTAAGAATATATATAGATTGTTTAATATTAAAATATATTCAACAAATTCTTAAATGCAATCTTCTTCTTAAATTCATTAAATGCAATAATTTTTTACATAATAAAATTTCTTAAAAAATTTAGGAAAATAAATTTATGAGAAAATAGACAATGAGACATTTAATAACAATTGTTCTAACTTTAGAAGATATATTAAAATTAAAATTGAAAGATTAACTAATAAATATCTATCATATACATATAAATGTAATATAGAATACACATGTAATATGATTATAATTGTAAATTAAAATATGAATTCGACCAATGATTCGCAATTAAGACATTCGTAACAATATAAATTTTATAAAAAAATTTTAAATTTTAAATGATAAATGTTATTTGTGAATATTTTGTTTATAATATTTTAATGAAAATTATAATATTAATTATTTCTGTTTATTAAATTTAAATTAAATTGTTATTAATAAAAATGAGTATTGGATATAATTGCATAGGTTTTTAAATCTATATTAAATTTATATTATCATTATACAAATTATTATATCATTTATACAAATAAATCGTTTTCAAACGATTAGAATTCTAAACTATTAATTTAAAACATTATATTATAAATAAAAAATTAAATTTGTTTTTATATAATACCATATATGTATAAATCTAAATAAATATGTATATTCAATTGACTTTACGTATAATAAAAAATTAATAACAAGCTCTTATATTTATATATTAAATAACAATTTGCATAAATTATTATTGTTATTATTATTATTAAATTAGGTTATGCAATTCATTTATTATTATACTTTAATTTATAGAAAACAATCATAATATTCATTTGTTTTTGTTAATAAAGATAATACAATCACAATAGCGATAATAATACATTTATAGGTTATATCAGGACTATAAATTTTTTGAATTATTGAAACTAAGTCTTAATATCTAATCTACAATTAAAGTCATTTTTTAATATACTTTACATATGATAAATTGTATTTATTGTAGCTTACATTTTATAATTTGTGTGAAACTAATAATGTTATAATTTTACAGTGGCAGTGAAAGAAAAACTACTCAGTAACAGAAAGTTTTCATAGAGAGAAATTGCAATTATTGTATGAAATATTGTTTTCAACGTGTCATATACATAAATACACATATTATTACATATTTAAAACTTAAAAATTTGTTTAATATCGATACATATTTTGATTTATTATTGATCCAAATTTATTTTTTTTTAATGTAAAGATAAACATTGAATGATTTAATAATTCGCCATCAATTAATTAATTTTTTTCTTGATACAACTTCTATATTTTGTAGTTGCAAAAAATATGCGTATAAGTAATTAATGTTAAAATTTTATGCTAACATTTTTTTATAGTTTATGATTTAATATTTCGTTAATTTTACTAGAAAAAGTATACATTATTTTGTATGTAACTACATTTTTTATACATATGATGATAAAAATTCAAATTAATCCGAATTTTTTTTTATATTAAAATTTTCACAATTTAAAATTCTGAAAATTAATTTTTCTCTTCTTTTTCTTTTTCTCCTTAATAAACATCCTCTGCTATTTTACAAGTCTAAAAATACATGTATAGTTTAATAATAATTCGGTCAATGTGACTAATATTTGTTAATTTGCTTAAAATCTTAGAGAAAAACAGTTACTGCAATGCTATGTTAGAACAAGAATATTTAATAGAATAATAATATTAAATAGAAGTTTATCACAAATTTTATATTGTAGATCAATTAACGGGCATATTATCGACTAAAATTACATCTTATATGATTACAATTGAAATGACATAACGTTTTCACGTTAATTAAATGCTTTATTACATAATGGAGGAATAGTCGTCATTATCAATTAATCTGAAGATGTGTTAATTTTTAAATGGATTTTATGAATACAATTTTTTTATTACATATTTCTTTACCAATGAAATACTGATCTTTTTAATTAGAATTTCTTTTGATCTATGTATTTGAAAGCTTTTCTTGTGTTTTCTTGTGTAAAATGTGTATTTTACTAATAAACGCAAAATGGAAAATAGATACATCTATATGATATAAATATACAATAGTATATTCGCCAAATTTTTATGGCTATGATTATAAATATTCATTAGATAAAGATTTCGCGATGAATAATAAAGAAAATATTCTATTATGAATGAATAACATATAATCAATCTCAATTTATGAATCTTAATCGCTATGTAATTCTCGGACAAATTTCCCGCGTCTTAAGCGTATTTCAATTTTTTTCGAAATATGTATATAATCATCATTAAAAAATATATAATAAAATAAAAAATATTTTAAAGACAGTACCAAAATAAATTTAATATACAAATAAAAAAAAAAAAAAAAAAAAAAAAAGAAAACATATTTAATGT